CGAACCTGGGTCTTCTGCAAGAACAATCAGTGTTCTTAACCGCTGAGCCATCTCTCCAGACCCTCATGAAGCCTTTTATATATCTGCATCTTCAAGGCAGCATTAACGTCTTTCCTAGGTCCCCCTACTACTGGACAGCACTTATGACATTGTTTGATTACATATAGAAGTCTGTGTCCCCACCCTTTGAAAGTTATTGTATGGAAGATCTGCTTGCTCTTTTTTGCCAGCTTTGTCTTTTAGTGTGGTAGTTAACTGAAAATGTTCTGGGGAACAAATGAATAACTTTTAAATAGATATAAATAGAATATTTGAGATAATATAATATTCAGTGCCTTGTTTGCACATGCTTCACTTGACTTGACTTTGAAGAGTCTCAACCAGCATGTTGATGGCACCCCTGTTTCCTTAGTTATATCTGAAAGAGGCAGAATCAAGCCTGAAGAGACTCGATCAGACCGTTGACACACACCTGCTCCTTTCCCTGACCTGTGATCTGCTCCGAAGTCAACTCTGCTGGACTTACCAGAAGGTATTTATTTATTTTTATTTTTCATTTTTTTGGTCTTTTTGAGACAGGGTCTCCCTATAGCCTCAGCTGACGGCCAGGAACTTGGTAGACTGGGCTGGCCTTGAACTCAAGAGACCTGCCTGCCTGTGCCTCCAGAGTACTGAGTAAAGGTGTGCACCACCAAGCCCAGCCATTGAGTGGATTTTAAACTAAGCAAAACAGCAAACATCCAAGACTGAAGTATCACAAAGGCTCTTAAGTTGTTTCATCAAAACTGAGAATTACCCTAAATTATTAAAATTCCTTTCAAATGACCCCATTAAAATGTGCTTAGAAAGCATGATCCTTTCCTGAAAGATGTGAAATCAGCTTCCCCTCTTCACTTACTCTGGGACTCTACTAGCTACTCACCAAAGAGTTAACTTCCCTTTCAGTTATTACCTGTTCCAGGGAAGTTCCAAAAAAGCAAGGAGTTTTTTTTTTTTTGCAGTGCTAAGGATTGAAACCAGGGCCTTGCACATACTAGACAAGTGCTCTGCTATTGAGCTACACCCTAATCCTAACTCTGCTACTCTTTTAATTCCCAAAGACTCTGGATCTCAGGAAAGTTTTAGGATTTTTCAGTATATTTGTTGTGTTCTGAGATTTTCCTGCAGCTAAGTAGAATGTTCATGCCTCTAAAGCAGTAAAATATCCTCACCTTGTAGTAGAGATGTTATTCTTGTCATTCTTCTCTAGTTTCTACAGGGGCAAAGGGGTTTAGAAGTTGGGGAAGACAGCCCAGCATGGTGATTACGCCTGTGATCCCAACTTTTAGAAGGCTGAGGCAGGAGGAACTCCCAGTTTGAGGTCAGCTTGGGCTACATAGCAAGACTCAGCCTCAAAAACTTAAAGAGAAAAAGGAAGGAAGGAAGAAAAATGAGGAAACGGTGATTTGGGCTTGAGAAGGCATTGGGGCCCTAGTCTAGCACTCCAGTAGGCTCCAGAAGATCTCCGCTTTAGCTCAAATTAGGTGTGTTTATTAGTCAGTTCTTGTTCCTGCACAAACTCTGGTTCTCTTCTATAGTATTTTTATTTTATTTTTTTATCTTTTTGAGACAGAGTCTCCCTGTAGCCCCAGCTGGCCTGGAACTCACTATGTAGACCAGGCTGGCCTTGAACTCACAGAGATCCGCCTGCCTCTGCCTCCCAAATGCTGGGACTATAGGCGTGCACCACCATGCCTGGTTTAGTATTTTTATTTTCACTTTATGTGTTTGAGTATTTTTCCTGCATGTTTGTTTGTGTACCACATCTATGCCTGGTGCTCAGGGAGGGTACAGAGACTATCTGATTCCGGGAACTGGAGTTAAGGACTGCTGTGAGGTACCATGTGGCTGCTGAGAATAGAACCCAGGTCCCCTGCAAGAGCAGCACGTGCTCTTAACTGCTGAGCCATCTTTTTGGCCCCAGTATTTTTCCATTCTGTTTTTTTGAGACAGGGTCTCCCTGTAGCCCCAGCTAGCCTGGAACTCAATATATAGGGTAGGCTGGCCTTGAACTCACAGAGATCCACCTGCCTCTGTCTCCCAAGTGCTGGGATTAAAGGTGTGCACCACCACGCCCGGCTTAGTACTTTTTTTTCTTTTTTCTTTTATGTGTATGAGTATATTGTCTGCATGTAGGTAATTACACCCATTTCGTGCAAAGCCCATGGAGGACAGAAGAGTCCATTCAGTCCCCTGAACTGGAGTTACAGACAGTTGTTAGCTGCCATGTGGGTGCTGGCATTTGAACCTGGGTCTTCTTCAAGAACAACCAGTGCTCTTAACCACTGACCCATCTCTGCAGCGCCAGTATTTTTTGTTCTTAAAGGCAGAGGATTGGACTGCAGACTTCCAGGGGTACCTCTCAAACTCTGAAATGCTTGTGACTCTTCTCTGACTTTTTGTCTCTCTCAGGTGACTGAGGGTGTTTCTCTATTGCTTTCTGTCCTTCGGGATCCTGCCCTCCAGAAGTCATCGAAGGCTTGGTACTTGCTACGTGTCCAGGCCCTGCAAACACTGGCTGTCTACCTTAGCCTCTCATCAAACATCCTCTCAGAAGCTCTACGTGAACAGCTCTGGGCTCAAGGTGAAAGAGGGGTGCTGGCAGCTTTCTTGGGTGATGGTTCTGGTTAGTCTGGTACCTTTTAGTCTCAGCCTTTCATCCCCTGCTGTCCAGCCATGTGGACCAGCCTCTAGAACCTACACAGAGCAGGCCTGTGGTAGCGAATGAGTTTTACTTTACCTTCTACTGCTAATCAAATAACAAGTCGCTTTTTGGAATATTAGACTGAAAGAAATTTTAAGACACCCCCCCCCATGGGATCTCAGAGGGAAGGAGTTCTGTGATTGGTTAACTCTGCCTTAGGTGCAGAAAGAAAAGAGTAGCAGCATGCTTTGTGTTTGCTATCTTAGTTGAAGGTAGTAAGCATGCTGCTGGATAATCTTTCTCTATCCTACTGACCCAAGGCTGGCAGACACCTGAGACAGCACTCATAGATGCCCACAAGCTCCTCCGCAGCATTATCCTCCTGCTGATGGGTGGTGATGTGCTCTCAATTCAGAAAGCAGCTGTGCAGTCACCCTTTCTGGACTATGGTGAGTCTGAGGAGGAAGGCAGGGCCCTGTGGCAATGGACACACCAGATGACAGGGCTGGCCATTTTGTCTCCAGAGTATCTGACTGTGTTTCTTTGCTGAAGTCTTTATCTTTTGCTATAGGTGAAAATCTTGTGCAAAAATGGCAGGTTCTTACAGAAGTATTGAGCTGCTCAGAGAAGCTGGTCAGCCGCCTGGGCCACCTGGGGAATGTGAGTGAAGCCAAGGCCTTCTGCTTGGAAGCCCTGAGACTTACAACAAAGCTGCAGATACCTTGCCAGTGAGTAAGAGGGTACTGATTCTACTTCCCGAGTGCCACGTGCTTTTAAATGTAGATTCCCCAAGGATTCTAGAAAGTCCATGCTGTATCTAGTGGGACTGGTGGGAGCAGACATTCCATGGCTAAGCAGGAACTGCTAAGTTAATCAAGGTTACATGTTCATATGCCTCCAAAGGACAACTAGTTACTGCCTTTCCCTAAGCTTATTTACCACAAGATCTTTTATTGTTATTGTTGAATGCAGTTGGGGAATCCTGCCAGAGGATAATTTGGGATGAGAGAGCATAGAGGGTTTTTCCCTAGCAAAGCTGTATGCCAACTTTGAGGATGCAGAGAATGATGACACGGGCTGGGCCTGGGAAATGGGCGAAGAGTGACTCTCCAGGAAAACAGCATTCTACTGACTGCTTTTCATCTCCTCCTCACAAGGTGTGCCCTGTTCCTTGTGCTGAAGGGAGAGCTGGAACTGGCCCGCGGTGACATTGAGCTCTGCCAGTCAGACCTGCAGCAGGTTCTGTTCCTGTTTGAGTCTTGCACAGGTAAGCTGCCATAGCCCCTGCCCAAGGGTGGTGGGACGAATGCACATGTGCAACAACATGTTCTCATTTGCAGAATGGCTCCATTCTAAATCAGAGCCAGGCCTCTGCTTAGAGGCAGTACCCCTTGACTTTAATTAGGCCGTTGGTGTTCCTCCTCCTGTGAGAATCAGCACAGGACCAACCCTCCCTGGCTGTAGCTTCAGTGCTGCTCAATATATTTTGGCTTTAAGATTTTTTTATTCATTTATTTATTTTAGGGTGTTGTGGTTTTGTGTGTGTGTGTATGTTTTAAGACAGTTCCCTGTAGCCCCAGCTGGCCTGGAACTGATGGCATTGATCTCACAGATCTGCTGCCTGCCTCTGCCTCCTGAGTGCTGGGATTAAAGGTTTGCACCACCAGGCCTGGCCTACCTGACTAAATAAAGGTTTTTAAAAAATGATTATTTGGGGACTGGGGAGATTGCTGAATAGTTAACAGCAGGGTTGCTCTTGTAGAGGACCCAGGTTTGGTTCCCAGCACCTCCATGGTGGCTAACATCAGTCTGTAACTCTAGTTCCAGGGAACCTGACACCCTCTTCTTGCCTCTGTGGGCATTGTAAGCATAGATGTACTTGTATACATACAGGCAAAACATTCTTACACAAAAAATAAAAATAAAATTAAAAAACCACTTTGTAACTCCAGTTCCAGGCACCCTTTTCTGCCCTCCATGGGTAACAAGAACATACATGGTATACATATCTTTTCAAAAACAAAAAGATTATTTTGGTGCTTTTTAAAAATACTTTAATATTTAAAATTTATCTATTTTTATTTTATGTGTTTCCTGCATGTTTTTTTAAATTTCTATTTTATGTATATGAATGTATTGCTTACATGTATGAAAGTGTATCTGTGTCATGCGGTGCCCACGGAGGTCAGAAGAGGTGTCGGATCCCCAGAAACTGGAGTTATGAAAGGTTGTTAGCCACCATGTGGGTGCTGGAAACCAAACCCTGGACCTCTGCAAGAGCAGCCAGTGCTCTTAACCTCTGAGCCATCTCTCCAGCCCCTTCTGCATTTAAGTGCACACATGTGCAATGCCTATGGAGGCCAGTAGGGGGCATTGGATTTCCCCTGAAACTGGTGTTACAGTTGTTAGGCCTCCTATGTGTTATGTAAACTGAACCCAGGTCCTCTGCAAGAACAGCCAATGCTCTTAACTGCTGAGCATCTCCCTAACCCCACATTTAGGCTTTCTAGATCTAAATTAAATTTAGGGCTGAAGATGTAACTCAGTGGTAGAGTGCCAGCTTAGCATGTACAAGATTCCAGGTTCAGTGCCCAGCACAAGTTTAAATAAAATTTTAAATTCAGGTCCTCTCCTGTCTGAGCTTCCCCAGTAGCTGGGATTATAGGTGTAGGCCCCTGGGCCTGACTATACATTCTTATTAACTATTTTTACCTCTGTATGTCATTTGCATCTCTCCCAACCCAATATAGTTAGGTGGGAACATAGATTTTTCTCTTTTTTTTTTGCTTTTTTGTCTTTTTGAGACAGGGTCTCCCTGTAGCCCTAGCTGGCCTGGATTCTCTGTGGAGACCAGGCTGGCCTCGAACTCACAGAGATCCACCTGCCTCTGCCTCCCAAGTGCTGGGATTAAAGGTGTGCGCCACCACTCCTGGCTTCTTTTTTAATTTGTAAATTGAGGAAATTGACAGCTTCCATGTTTTGGGCTGGGATCATAGGACTAGTCAGGTAGGGGTGAGATTTGGGCCAGCTCCAAGAGTGGGGTGTGGATTGTTGATCCCTTCTTTAGTGGATAGAAAATATTGGTATTTTTCTCCAAAAAAAAAAGGCTGCAGTAATGTCATTGTATGTTACACAGAGGTACATTTGAGTGACTTATAAGTGAATAACATATACATTGGGAGTTGGACCCTGAGGTAGCTCAGGTATTTGAGACTGTTTCTCTCAGTTTAAGTTTTGATCTGCTCTCTCCCCAGAGTTTGGTGTGGTGACCCAATACCCAGACTCTGTGAAGAAGATCCACATGAAGAAAGAGAGACAGCAGGCACAAGTCCCCTGTTCCCCTCAACTCCCAGAGGAGGAACCCTTTCTAAGAGGCCCTGCTCTGGAGCTGGTGGCCACTGTGCCCAAGGAGCCTGGGCCCATTGCACCCTCTACAAACTCCTCTCCAATCCTGAAAACCAAGCCCCAGCCCAGCCCAGGCTTCCTGTCCCACTCACCCACCTGTGACTGCTCACTCTGTGCCAGCCCTGTCCTCTCAGCAATCTGTCTACGCTGGTTGTTGGTCACTGCAGGATTGAGACTGGCCATGGGTCATAAGGCCCAGGGTCTGGAGCTGCTACAAGCTGTGTTGAAGGGTTGCCCTGCAGCCACCAAGCGCCTCATCCAGAACCTCCAAGCTTCCTTGAAACACAAAGCATCCCCCTCCTCTGTCCCAAGCCTTTTGGATGAGATCATGGCTCAAGTGTACACACATCTGGCACTGGAGGGTCTGAGCCAGCCATCAAACAAGAGCCTGGGGAAGGTTCTGGCGTCGGGGCTGAAGTTTGTGGCAACTCGGATACAACACCTCGAGTCCTGGCAAGCCAGCTTGCTCTTGATTCAGGCCCTTGCAAAGCTGGCGAGCTTCAGTTGCTGCACTACCCAATTTTTTGCAAGCACTTGGGGCTGGCAACCACCATTAATAAGCTCCCCAGTCTCAGTGCCCTCTAAGACTCGAAGCCAAAAATCCTCTGGACAAGGGCGCCAGCGCATAGCCTCTGCTCCCCCAGCCCTTCGTAATACCTCTCAGAAAGGTCTGGAAGATAGCGGGCCTCCCTGTACACCCAAGCCCCAGGGCCGAGCTCGGCAAGCTGGTCCCCAAGTACCTTTCACCATATTTGAAGAAGTCCACCCTACAAAGAGCAAGCCTGAAGTTCCCTTGGCCCCCAGGGTGCAAAGGAGGGTCCAGACTCGCCTCAAGGTGAGGTGGGGTTGTGTCTAGATGGTGGAGGCCTGGGAGGAGAGGGATTCTAGAAGAGGATATTCCACAGAGACTGGTCCTTGTCCAGTAGCTACCCATGACCTAGTGGCGTGTTGATCTGCTGTTTGCAGTACCCTACATTTTTTGAGCTCTATAGTCCTTTTCCTGTATTCTTCCTCTCTTTTATTTTCCAACCCTTTTTCAAGCACCATGGGACTTGAGTGGCAAGTGCCATGTGTGGGAAGTCAGTTCTGAAGTCTTCACGAGGCCTGTGGGTGTCTCTCCACAGTACTACCTGCTGTCAGAAGTTGTTATCATTGAAAGTCCTTTTTGCCTTTCTCTCTTCTGTCTCAGGTGAACTTCAGTGATGACAGTGACTTGGAAGACCTTGCCTCAGCTGAGACACAACTTGTAGAGGGACCTAAGAGACGAGGGACTGCTTCCAGATGCCGGGGCCAAACTAGGAAGAGCTCTACTGTAAAGACAGATGCAGCGGTTGTCCCAGGGAGTACTCCTGGGCACCCCAGGGGTAGGGGTCGACAGGCCAAGAAGGTGGCATCAAGACACTGTGAAGAGGAGAGTCCCCAGACATCCCTTTGTGGCCGGACCAAACTGGGACCCGAGATCATGAGGACTATCCCTGAGGAGCAACTGAGTGACCAGATGCAAATGAGCTTTGAGACTCTCAGGGCTTCTGATGGGGAAGACTCAGCCTCAGGTAGGCCTGCGAGAGCAAGAAATAAGGCAGGTCCTGGGGGGGGCAGGCTAAGGTGCGTCACTAGAACCACTGAAGAAGTAATACTACCGCAGTCCAGGCTTTTCCAGCCCTCGGGTGGATTGTAGAACAGGAAGCATCATGAAAAATCTCTCCCTAGGTGGAAAGGTACCAGCTGCAGGCCCTCCTCCAGCTACAGGAGAATGTGAATTGTTGAGACGGGACTCCAACAAGGCAGAGCTACCTGTCCTATGCCCAGACAAGGAAGCTGAGAGGGACCCTAGTCCTTGGCTCCAGCCTCTCTCTGTTTCTGTACCTGTTGGTAAGTATATTAACTACTGAAGTTTGCTCATTTGAAGAGGACTGGGCCTCTTAAGTCTTGATAGCTATGTCTTGGAGGAGGGAGTATATTTTCATTTATATCTTCTTAAGACATGGTAGCCCAGGCCTCTGGAGTTACGGGTGTGCATCACTGTGCTCAACTTTGCGTGTGTGAGTGTGTGTATGTGTGTGTGTGTGTGCGTGTAGGCGTGTGTAGGCCAGAGGTCAATGTCTGGTGTCTTCTTCAATTGCTTCTCCATCTTATTTATTTTTTTATTTTTAAAATTTATTTTTATGTGTATGAGTGTTATAACTGCATGCATATAAGTGCACCTGTGTCATGCAGTGCCTGTGGAGGACAGAAGAGGGCGTCGGATCCCCTGGAACTGGAGTGCATTACAGACAGTTGTTAGCTGCCATGTCAATCAGTGTTCTTAACCGCTGAGCCATCTCTCCAGCCCCATCTTCACCATTTTTTAAGTCAGGGTCTCTTACTGAACCTGGAGCTTACATTACAGGCATATGCCACTGTACCTACCTTTTACCTGGGATCCAAGTTGAGGTCCTCATGCTTGCACAGCAGGCACTGCAGACTGAACCATCTCCCCGCCCTCTTTTCTTTTTTTTTTTTGGAGACAAGGTCTCAGCTTAAGCTGACATTGGACTTGCTATGTGGCCAAGGATCACCCTGAATTCCTGATCCTTTTGCCTGCGCTTCCCAAGAACTAGGGGGAAAAAAAGCCAGGCATGGTAGTGTGGGGTTTTTTTTAGCTTTCTGAGACAGGATCTCACTTTGTAGCCCCAGCTGGCCTGGAACTCGGTAGGAATCCTGTTGGACTTCAGCCTCTTGAGCGATAGGATTATAGATATGCACCTATGCCAGGCATTCCCGATGTCTTTCTAGTCTACCTGTGGTTCTGGCTATCTACCTAGATCCAGTAGTCCCTAAACCTGGTTGAATTCACCACTTTGTGCAAAGGACTTAAACTCTCTGAGCTTTTCTTTCATTGTAAAATGGGGCATCATGGAGAATCCAGAGTAGAGTGATGCCTGTTAGCATATCAACTCTCTTGGAACATTACCTTCCTAAACAGTAGCTGTTCTCTGATAGGAGGTGAGATAGGGACTCCTCAGAAGTTCCCATCAATTAGGAAATAGGGGGTGTATATATATATATATATACACCCACGTTGTGTGGTGCCCCGGGAGGCCAGAAGACTGCACCAGAGCCCCTGGAACTTATAGATGGTTGTTAGCCTCTGTGTGGGTGCTGGAAGTCAAACCTAGGTCTTCTGCAAGAGCAGCCAGTGCTCTTAGTGGCTGGCCCATCTCTCCAGCCCCAATGCACCTCGATATTTTTTTTTTATTTTATCATTTTTATTTTATGTGTACGTGTGTATTGCCTACATGTAGGTAAGTGCACCTGTGTCATGCAATGCCTGCAGAGGTCAGAAGCGGCTGTTGGATCCCCTGGAGCTAGAGTTATGGACAGTTGTTAGCTGCCATGTGGGTGCTGGGATTCAAACCTGGGTCTTCTGAAAGACCAGCCAGTGTTCTTAACCCCTGAGCCATCTCTCCAGCCCCAGGGGTTCATATTTATCAAGCATCCTGACACTTTTTTTTAGATCTTTCTACCCTGGATTCCATGTCTGACTCACTGAGCATTGCTTTCCGTGGCGTCAGTCACTGCCCTCCAAGTGGGCTCTATGCCCACCTCTGCCGCTTACTGGCCTTGTGCCTGGGTCACCGGGATCCCTATGCCACTGCCTTCCTTGTTGCTGAGTCTGTCTCCATCACCTGTCGTCACCAGCTGCTCACCCACCTGCACCGACAGCTCAGGTGAGTGCTCACTGTTTTAGGTACTCATACTGGACAGAGTACAGGGAGGGGTCCTGACCTGGAAGGAGGTGGACTCACTCCTGCTTGTCACCTGCAGCAAGGCACAGAAGCACCAAGGATCACCTGAACTAGCAGAGCAGCTTCAGGGGATGAGCCTGCATGAGAAGCCTGGAGATGTCCCCCTGGCCTGCATCCAGCACCTCTTTTCCTTCAGGGCTCCAGGACCTGGCCACTTTCCCCAGGCAGAGAAGAACAGTTTCCAGGAGCACCTGGCTTTGATCCCCAGTGGTATGGTGTCAGGCTTCTGACATCTTCTAGTTGAGAAGCTGGGTAGAGGAGCCTAAGGAATTGATTTTGTGCTCCTTACGTCCTATTTTTCCTTCTTTCTCTCCGTCCTTCTTCCTCTCTTCCTCTGTCCCTTCCTTATTTGCTCTGCCTCCCACCCTCCCCCTTCTTTCTTTACCTCCTTTCTTCAGATACAGGTGCTTACCATGTAGCCCAGGTTGGTCTCAAACTAAAAAATCCTCCTTCCTCAGCCTTCTAGGCACTGGAAGACTTTCTTTAACCTCAACTATGTTATAAGCAAATTTGGGGTCTTCAGGTATGAAATGAATTGTCTAGAGTCTTCTGACACTAAAATGAAACATATTGATTGACAGATGATTTGAGTGCTTTATTGGAGGTAGGGGGAAAAGGGGGGCTTTGTTAGTTGCTGTGAGGGCCACAAATATACCAGCTACTTGTTCCCAGGGAATTGCAGGGGCAAGAGGTCACCTTGAACTCCACTGACTAGGGAAGACTTCTTGGAGTTGTCCTGAGGGATACATGTAAAAGATAGGACTGGGCATGCTTTTTTTTTTTTTTTGCCTTTTTTGGGGGGGGGTCTTTTGAGACAGGGTCTCCCTGGAGCCCCACGTGACCTGGAACTCCCTTTTTTCCCATATAACACAGCCTGGCCTTGAATTTCCCACCCCACACAAATATACACACAAAAGGAAATTAATATAATGTAACTTTTTTTGTCTTCTTGATACAGGGTCTCCCTGCAGCCCCAGCTGACCTGGAACTCACTATCTTCCTATATAGACCAGACTGGCCTTGAATTCACAGAGATTCCCCCTGCATCTGTCTCCCAAGTGCTAGGATTAAAGGCATGCACCACCATGCCAAGCTTGGGCATGCTTTCTAACAGCTGGCATGATTCTGGGTGTGTCCTCTGTTTATGTCAGGAGTGACTGTCTGCGTGTTGGCCCTGGCTACTCTTCAGCCTGGAACCTTGGGCAATACTCTCCTGCTGACTCGACTGGAAAAGGACAACCCTCCAGTCACTGTGAAGATCCCCACTGCCCAAAACAAGGTAGGGTTCCTGTGCCAAGGACCAATGTTGGCCAGAGGTATGCCTTGGTACCTGCATTCTATGGCTAGAGGATGGAGAGGTAATGGTCACTTGGTAAGCCAATCTCACAACCCTATCATCTCCCATAGTTCCCACTAAGCTCAGTGCTGAAAGAGTTTGATGCCATCCAGAAGGACCAGAAAGAAAACAGTAGCTGTACTGAGAAGCGAGCATGGTGGACGGGACGGCTGGCACTGGATCAAAGAATGGAGGTGTGTGCTGCCAGAGTGGGAAGGCTCAGGCCTGCCACAAAAGGGGGTTGGGGGGTGGGGCGCAGTGTCTTCATCAGCAGAGGTCCAGGTCAGAAATAAGCTACTTCAAGTCCTTTCTTTATAAATCCCAATTATCTGGGCATGGTCTCTCATGCCTGCAATCCCAGTACTATTGGGGCTAAGACAAGAAGAATATATCACATTCAAAACCAGACTGGACTATAGTGAATTTCAGACCACAGAGTGGGGACTCTGTCTCAAAAACAACAAAAATTACGTCACTTGAGAAGGGGTTTAAGTAAACACTCCACACTTGAAGGGGTTTGACAGTGGGATGTTTTAAAAAGCACTGATGTGCTGGACCTGATAGTCCATGCCTATAATTCTAGCACTTGGGAGGTAGAGGTAAGAGGATCTGGAGTTGAGGTCATCCTTAGCTACGTAGCAAGTTTAAAGCCAGCCTGGGCTATATATAATTTCAAGGCCAGTCTGGGATATATAAGACACTGTCTAAATAAATAAAGAAGCACTAAGAGCCAAGTATAGTGGAACAAGCCTGCAGTCCAATCTCTGGGAAGGCTGAGACAGGAGGATTCCAGGTCTGAGGCCAGCCTAGCAGTGGGAGAGCCGCTCTTATAAAGGAAAAACAATACACTGAAGAAAAAATATTTAAGCCCATTGCTCACCTGTTCATATTTCTCAACAACATAGTGACATAAAGTCTCTTTGAGAGTCTCAAAAAATAAGCCGGGCATGGTGGCGCATTCCTTTAGTACCAGCACTTGGGAGGCAGAGGCAATAAAATACTTTTTTTTAAAAAGGGTTTTTTTGGGGGGGTCTTCTTAAGACAGGGTCTCCCTGTAGCCCCAGCTGTCCTGGAACTCACTATGTAGACCAGGGTGGCCTTGAACTCACAGAGATCCACCTACCTCTGCCTCCCAAATGCTGGGATTAAAGGCGTGTGCCACCACGCCCAGCCTTAAAGTTTTTTTTAAAAAATGAAAAGGTGGCACAGGCCTTAATCTCAGCACTCAGGAGGCAGAGGCAGAGGCAGATGGATCTCTGAGTTCAAGGTCAGCCTGGTCTACACAGTTAGTTCCAGACTAGCTGAAGCTACAGGGAGACTGTGTCTCAAAAAGACCCCCCCCCCAAAAAAAAAAAGAAAAAGAAAAGGCATTATAGACTTTACCTTTTATGATATCTGGTAGACCCCTTTCCTCACCTACAAAATGTTGGTGAAATGCTTCTTCTGACTGAAGGCTTTATCCCTGCTCACAGGACCTCATCACCTCCCTAGAGAACCATGTGCTGGGCTGCTGGCGGGGGCTGCTGTTGCCATCTAGTGAGGAGCCCAGCATTGCCCAGGAGGCCTCCCACCTACAGGAGTTGCTGCAGGAATGTGGCTGGGAATATCCTGACTCTACTCTGCTAAAAGTAAGTTCAGGATGCAGGAGAGGGGAAGCCTCTGGGATGGTATTTTTCTACCAGCCACAGGGAATGGAGATGAGAGTTATAACACCTGCTAACCACTGTTCCTCTGTAGGTCATTCTCAGTGGTGCCAGGAACCTTACCAGCCAGGATATTCAGACCCTGGCCTATGGGCTGTGCCCTGCCCAGCCAGAACGTGCCCAAGAGCTCCTGAATGAGGCGGTAGGACGGGTACAGAGCCAGATGGTCCCAAGCAGTAGGCACCTTGTCTTGGTGTTAGACAAGGTAAGGCTCCCTGGGGCACTGAGAAGTATGTAGAGGATAATGAGCACTGGCTCATCTTCAGGCCCCTTCAGACACCTGCATTTATGTGGCTTGGGATGGTAACCTTGGAATCTTTTTGCCCAGGACCTACAAAAGCTGCCATGGGAAAGCATGCCTAGCCTTCGAGCACAGCCTGTCACCCGACTGCCCTCTTTCCACTTTCTACTAAGCTACTCCATCACCAAAGAGGTGGGACTCAGGGAATGAGGCCTGGGAATGCTTGGCAATTTAGGGAGACCTAAAGAAAGATGGGCAGAGAGCCCTAGAAGATAGGAGAGGCTGGACAATGGGTCAGGTGTAGATGGAGTTTGCTAGAGGTTGGGCCTCCTAGAGAGGCCAGGGTCCTAACTGCCTGTGTCCACCCTTCAGGCTGGGGCCTCATCAGTGCTGAGTCAAGGTGTGGATCCACAGAATACCTTCTATGTCCTGAACCCTCACAATAACCTATCAAGCACAGAGGAGCGATTTCGAGCCAATTTTAGCAGGTCATTGGGGATGAGGACATGAAGCAGGGTGGGGAAGGGTGGAGACCATTCAGGGGCAATGTGCCTGTGCTCTGAAATCAGTTGCTTTGTCTCATTGTCTGCTGTTCCCTCTGCCCTCTTTGCTCCATGTGCCTGCCATGCACTTACTCGTGCCTTTTCCCTGCAGTGAAGCTGGCTGGAAAGGAGTTGTTGGGGAGGTTCCAAGCCCTGAACAAATGCAGGCAGCCCTGACAGAGCATGACTTATATATGTGAGTGTTTAGGACAGGGAACTGGGCAGTCTGGAGGATGGCATCATTATGGGTTGGCATTCTGGAGTCTCTGGAAACAGAGGTAGGGTCAAGTACTAACAGGTCAGCACTTACTTTGCTTCCTTCTGCCTTAGCTATGCAGGGCATGGAGCTGGTGCCCGCTTCCTCGATGGGCAGGCTGTCCTGCGGCTGAGCTGCCGGGCAGTGGCTCTAATGTTTGGCTGCAGCAGTGGGGCCCTGGCTGTACATGGAAACCTGGAGGGAGCTGGCATTGTGCTCAAGTACATCATGGCTGGCTGGTGAGGCTCAAGGGATGAGACCTGCCCTAGGTTCTTTCCCTGAATCCTTCCTCTCAAGCCCCACCTTCCTTCTGTCCTGGTTCCCTCCTAGAGGTATGGGCCAAGGGAGATCCTCATTGGTTCTCTTCTCTACTCACCACCATAAGGCATTTCTAATATAGCACCCATACTTTGTGTTTCTTCATTCTCTTTCTAGCCCCTTGTTTCTAGGTAATCTCTGGGATGTGACTGACCGTGACATTGACCGCTACACAGAGGCTCTGCTGCAGGGCTGGCTTAGAGCAGGCCCAGGAGCACCCCTTCTCTACTATGTCGGCCAGGCTCGCCAGGCTCCCCGACTCAAGTATCTTATTGGTTCTGCACCTGTAGCCTATGGCCTACCTGTCACTCTACAAACACCCTGAAGTTGTCTTATCTATGGTAGAAGCTATGTGACTATCTACCTCTAAATGTATATTTAACTTAGTATTTCGAATGTTTTAAAGTAATTTTTTCCCCAATGTTTTGTATGAAACGTCTTTTAATTTAACTTTAATATAATAAAGATATATCAAACCTCATTGTGTGTAGTTTGAAAATATCTAAAGACCTGACAGCCCAGGCATGGGCACCCCCACCCCCACCCCCGCACATGGGAACAGTTTTCAGGAGTTCAAATTTGAGAGCTTTGGGAAGAAAGACAAAGCCTTTCTCAGCTGAGCCTTGGTGGAGAAGGCTACAGAGAAGGACATCAAAATGCTAAAAGGGGAGAGAGGAAGAGCGGTGAGGCTTCTTACGGTGCCTTTAGTACCGCCATTGTCCTGTTTCCCCTAAACGATTTTAGAAATCATTACTCTTCCCACTAAGGCTGCTACACTTACCAATGCCAGCAACCGATTCTGTCAGGTTTTTCAACTCATGGGGCCTGTCTTCCTAAGTTGAAGTTTCTGGGAAGCACACGTCGTATGCTCCTCACATCTAGCACTTAGTATTATTATTTTGTTAATAATTCCTGTACTGCCGGGCGTGATGGCGCACACCTTTAATCTCAGCACTCGGATCGGAGGCAGGCGGATCTCTGTGAGTTCAAGGCCAGCCTGGTCTACACAGTGAATTCCAGGGCAGCTGAGGCTACAGGGAGACCCTGTCTCAAAAAAAAAAAAAATTTATATATATATATAAACACTGTAGTGTACTTCTTGGTGTTCTTTAGGGGTTAGGGTTCTTTCCACCCCATCTGCCCAAATCACCTTTTCACCAGCTGATGGTACACAGGCTTGTCACATCAACGTGGAGTAGTGTATTACCGTTTTGCAATCTTGTGGTTGCGTCCTGAGGATTTTTAGTTTTAAGTTCCCTGAGGACAGAAGCCCTGTTTGTTACAACTTCACGGCTCTAAGTTTTGGATATTTTGTGGCAGAACGTGCTGATGTCTCTAAACAAGCCTCCAATCCTCATCACTCTTCAGAGACCCAGGATCATAGAGATGTCTGGCGCAGAGCGGCCTCCTGGCGGTGCCATAGAGATGCGCCGAGTTTGGCTAGAGCGTCGTTAGGCCAGCCGGCTTTCTCTTCGTTAGTTCTCCTTTCCAACATGGCGCAGTCGATTAACATCACGGAGCTGAGTCTGCCACAGCTGGAAATGCTCAAGAACCAGCTGGACCAGGTGGGGATGGGCCCCCCGCACCTTTCTCGTGCTTCAGGTCGTCCTGCCCACTCGAAGCCGCCCTTTCCCCGGTTCTTTCCCAGGTCCGAGGCTTCCTTCCCAGGGGAACCCCTGTCCGGCCCCAGGACCCGCCCCCTTTCGCCCAGCCGGCTCTTCCCGGGTCCCCGAACTGACCCTTTCTCCACCCCCCTCTCTATAGGAAGTGGAGTTCTTGTCCACGTCCATTGCCCAACTCAAGGTGGTACAGACCAAGTATGTGGAAGCCAAGGACTGTCTGAACGTGCTGAACAAGAGCAACGAGGGTACGGGATAGGCGGGTGAGGGCGCCTGGGGGACATCGCGAACCGGCTTGTCCCGCTTCCTAGTCCAGTTTTCCTTGGAGAAAACTATCCGTTACATATCGCGTACAGCTACACGAGCCCCTGCATGTTGCCTCCGGAGAACCAAAATGTACAGGACCTCCCTCAGCTCCTTTCACCTCTGTTGCTGTTGTTTGGCACTGTGTGTGGACGCTGAGCCCTGTTGGAGCTCCCTTAACACCTTCGCGTGGGAATAGCCAACCTTTCGCAGCTGTTTGTTTTCATTACTTTCACAGGAAAAGAATTACTGGTTCCACTGACGAGTTCTGTATCCTTTCCACAGGAATTGCTACCAAGCTTTCTCAGTCTGCCCTAAATCGGGGAAAGCGTTGATTACACAACGGTCTCCTCATGATTTACACACTTCATAGTTCTCTTATCTAACCTTGGATCACTGTCTGACTAATGTTTGGTGTGTACCAGAAAGTATGAAGAATTGAAGTGTGATATTTCTTTTTGTTGTTTGGGGATGATATCTAATAAGAAGATAAAACTGGTAGTTTGCACTTCTGCTAATAACTTAGAAGAAGACAAAAGCAGTTGAAAAAAAATGGTAGAATATTGAAGTTGGGAACTTGTTGGTTAACCCTCAGTTTCTTAACTTAATTGTAGCTCTGGGCTAAACTACTTTCACTAAGAAACCTGGATTGTCTACCGGTTGAATGCTCCACTTGAAGGAACAAGTTTGGCAATAGGGAACTTGTAATCTGTAGTCTTGAGAAATTATCGGCTAAATGAGAAGCCCAAGAATAGCAGAGTAGTGGGGAATGGTTAAATAAAATAATAGGGCTGGCAAATAGCTCAGCAGGGAAAGACACTTGCCACCAAACCTTACAACCATGCTCCATGGTGGGCACACGTATACACAAAATAAAAAAATTTTAAGGTAATAATCGCCAGGCGTGGTAGTCCCCACCTTTAATCCCAGCACTCCAGAGACTGAGGCAGGTGGATCTCCACATTCAAGGCCAGCTGGGGCTACAGGGAGACCCTGTCTCAAAAAAGACCCCCCTAAAAAAAAATTAGTAATAATCCCATCAGCGTCCATGGTTAGAGGAAAATGAGGCTGGTTTTTCACTTGCACTATTCTAGAGCCTCAAGAGAGAATCATTGTATCTAAAGGGGGAAATTGCAGGAACTCCTTGAAGGATGCAAGAGGGGATCAGGAAAAGAAACTATTCCAGGGTGTGTTTTCTGGATAAGGAACCAACTATGTCTCGCCCAGTTTGGAGTCATAGGTGTAAATTTAAGACCTCCAGATTACTCAGTTCTCTTACAACTTTTTTTTTTCTTTTTTTTGAGACAGGGTCTCCCTATAGCCCCATTTAGCCTATAGCTCAATTTGTAGACCAGGTTGGCCTAGAACTCACAGAGATCTGCCTGCCTCTGCCTCCCAAATTCTGGGATTAAAGGCGTGGACTACCACACCCAGCACTTACAGCTTTTTAGAAAAGGAAGGGTCTTAGAAGACTTCTTGACTGGACTGGCAGAATCATGGCTTATGCTGGGCTAGTTTTTCTCTTAATCCTCGATTCTCAGATGTATGTCCCCGGGAAGCTACATGATGTGGAGCATGTGCTCATCGATGTGGGAACTGGCTACTATGTAGAGAAGGTGAGTGGAAAGCAGCATGTGGATGCCCTCTGTGAAGGGAAGAGCTATAGTGTAGTTCAGGGTCTTTTATTTTTTTCATTTACTTCTGATCTTGCAGACAGCTGAGGATGCCAAGGACTTTTTCAAAAGGAAGATAGACTTCCTTACCAAGCAGATGGAGAAAATCCAGCCAGCTCTGCAGGAGAAGCATGCCATGAAACAAGGTAGGTTTTGCCCAGAGCATCTCTTTCTTTTTAAATTTTATTTATTGTTACTTTGTGTATGTGTGGACCCATGCATGCCACTGCATGTGTGGATGTCAGGACAACTTTCAGGAATCATTTTCCTCCTTCTGGAGATTAAATTCAGATTTTCAGGCTTATTTGGCAAGCATTTTTACCTGCTTAGCCATCTCACCAGCCCCAGGGTGCCTCTTGACCCTTTCTTCCTCCACAGTAAAAACCATTCATTACAGACTGGAGAGATGACTTAGTTCAGCAGTTAAGAACACTTAACTGCTCATGTAGAGGACTTGAGTTCAGTTCTCAGCACCCACATCAAGGGCTTCACAACCACCTGTAACTCTAGCTCCAGGGGAATCTGATGCTTCTGGTCTCTTCAGACACCTGCACTCATGGTACACATACCACCACAGAGACACATACATACACATAATTTAAAAAGAACATTCAGCTGGGCATGGTGGCGCATGCCTTTAGTCCCAGCCCTTGGGAGGCAGAGGCAGGCAGATCTCTGTGAGTTCGAGGCCAGCTGGAGCTTCAGGGAGACCCTGTCTCAAAAAGACAAAAAACAAAAAAAAGAACATTCATTGCACTAGGCATGGTAGCACATACCTGTACTCCCAGCACTGAGGAGGCTAATGCATGAGGATTGCTGTGAGTTCCAGAGCTGCATAGCAAGGCCCTGTCTCCAAAGGAAAAAAACAGCCAGGTTTTATGGCACACACCTGTCATCCCAGCACTAGACAGTTGGAGGCAGAGGCAGAAAGATCAGTAGTTCTGGGTTATCCTTGATTATGTAGCCAGTTCAAGGCCAGCCTGAGCTGCATGAGACTGTGTCTTAACAACTGTGCCCCTACAAAAAAAACAAGGATATGATTAATTTAGGACTGCAAATATGGCTCCACCATGCCTGGCTCTTGATTTTTTTTTTTTTTTTAATGGTGTTATGGATTGAACTTGGTCTGTGTACTAGCCAAGTACTGTACCCTCAGCCCTGACGTGACAGTTTTCTGGTTATGGCTAACACTGCGTTCATTTGTATGAGTGGTTAGCATAGTGACTGACACAGTGTAGAATCTAAATTTAGTGTTATGTGTGTTCTTCCAGTTTAACAAATTGTAGTTGATTGTCCACCTGTCAGTATTCCTTAACTGTAGGTTCTCCACTATAGTTCCTGACCAGGATGTGACTCTTCTTTTTTCTCTCATAGCTGTCATGGAAATGATGAGCCAGAAGATTCAGCAGCTCACAGCCCTGGGGGCAACTCAGGCTGCTGCCAAGGCCTGAGAGTATGTTGCCTAAATGAGAGTTGGAGGGACCCTGTTTCTAGGGGCATGGGACTTTGTAGGCAATGCCTTCTGGTGTCTGGAAGGGAATCTTGTGTTTAATGTTAATAAATGTGCAAGTGAGAAAATGGTGGTCTTTTCTTGCATTAAACAAGGGACCTGTGATGAGCCAGGAGGGGGTGGTCGAGAAGGGGTAGTCTTTCCCGAGCCTGAAAACACGGGCCAGGCACCCAGAGGCTCCACCTGGGGCTCTGACTAGCTGAAAGGAAGGAAACGCTGAGTATAGCAAGCGCCTTCTGTGTTGCCATGGGGACAGCTGGCAATCGGAAGTGAAACTGCACCTCTTCCGGGTCAGCCTTCCCGCCTTCCCGCCTTCCCATGGGTGGAGCCATATGGGTTATCCTTTCCTGCTTGGTACCCTGACGCTGCTGGTCCGCCGTGGTCAGTTCTTCAAACCCCCATGCTGGGGTCTAGAATCCGTTCTGCCCCCTAAAAGACTCTGCAATAACCTTATGGCACCGCCTCGAATCGGGACACACAACGGCACCTTCCACTGCGATGAGGCTCTAGCTTGCGCCTTACTCCGCCTCCTCCCAGAGTACCGGGTACGGATTGCCTGCATCCCTAAACGGGTCGCGACACGGTTGGGACACCCAGAGTACCGGGTACGGATTGCCTGCATCCCTAAACGGGTCGCGACACGGTTGGGGCAACCTGAGCGCCACCCCACCCAAGCCACACCCCCAAAACCGCAACATTAATCCTCTACCCTACCTGGCAGCCTCTTCACCTATGTTCTCTGCAGGATGCAGAGATTGTGCGGACTCGGGACCCCGAAAAACTGGCTTCATGTGACATCGTGGTGGATGTGGGTGGCGAGTACGATCCTCAAAGACACCGATATGACCATCATCAGAGGTGGGTTCACAAATACCTACTTTTTTTTTTTTTTTTTTTTTTTGGTCTTTTTGAGACAAGGTCTCCCACCTGGCCTAGAATTCACTATGTAAACCAGGCTGGCCTGGAACTCACAGAGATCCTCCTGCCTCTGGCCTCCTCTGCCTCCCGAGTGGCAGGACTAAAGGCTTGCGCCACCATGCCCTGCAGCTTATCTCCACCAAAATATTTTGATTGTTTTTAGACTTACCACCTATATTGTACCATGTTTATACCTTATGAATATTATGTAAATATTTTGTTGTTAGTCTTTCTTAATAAAACTCATTAAAAAATGAGCTTCCTAGGTGGTTCTGAGGTGGACTGGTGTTTAGAAATTATAGCTGAGGGTTAGAAAGATGGTTCTGTGGTTAAGAGCACTGATTACTCTTGCAGAGTACCTGGGTTTGATTCCCAGCACCCACATGACAACTAACAACCATCTGTAACTCCAGTTCCAGGGGATCCAACGCCACCTTATGACTTCTGTGGGCATTGCAGAGACACAGGTGCACTTGCATGCATGTAGGCAATACACTCATACACATAAAAAATAAAAATAATAAAATATTTTAGAAACACAAAGTACATACAAGGCCCTGGGTTCAGTCCTCCTCACCAAAAAGTAAGTTTCTTGTACTAGGCATCATGGCTGTACTTTCTACTTCTCAAAGTTCTGTTAGAACTTTTACTCTCTGGAGAATTGCAGGTATCTTCTTGCATTTGTTCTCCCTGGTGGCCAGTACAGTGGTCAGCCTATCCTGCATTTCCCTGCTTAACAGCTCCCCGGTATCTAGTGATAAAGTCTAAACTCCAGTTTTGGCATGGTTGAGCCCTTTCCTACCTTCTGGGTTTACCTTCTGCCACTTCTCACACTTGAGACTGCCTTTCTTGTAGTTCCAGGAAGAGACTTCTCTTAGCCATCCCCCATGTTCCCTCCACCAGAACCCTTTTCCTATTCACTCTCTCTAGTGAACATTTCATTATTGCTTTTCAGGATCTACATGGAGGCATTCCTTTCCTTGTCCCCTCCCTCTTTTTCCCTGTTATAACTTAGCACGAATATGGTCAGTCATCTGTCTCTGGCAACCACATCCATGATTCAAATAACTACTGATCAAAATATATCTTTTTTAAATTTAAATTGCATCTGTGCAGGGTACAGTGGCACACACCTGTAATCTCAGCACTTCAGATACCAAAGCAGGAGGATTGCCTCAAGTTCAAGACCAGCTTGGGCTACATTGAAAGTACCAGGATAGGAAGTCCTTGTCTTTAAGATAAAAAAAGTCAGGCCTAGTGAGGCCTACCTGCCGGTCTCAGCACTTAAGAAGTAGAGGCAGGAGGATAAGTTCAAGACCAAACTCGAGGGCTAGAGAAATGGCTCAGTGGTTGAGAGCACTGGCTGCTCTTGCAGAGGACCTGGGTTTGATTCCCAGGACCCACATGGTGGCTGGCAAACATCTGTAACTCCAGTTCCAAAGGATCCAATGCCCCTTTCTGACCTCTTTGGGCACTGCATGACAAAGGTGCACTTATATTCGTACAGGGAATATACTCATACACATAAAAAATTATTTTTTCCTTTTTAAAAAAACACCAAACTCAGCTAGATAGTGAATCCAAGGTCAGTATGGGATATATGAGACTCTGTCTCAAAATATGCAGACCAAAAAAAAAAAAAAAAATCAAGCCAGGCATGGTAGTATACACCTGTAATTCAGTGATTCAGGAGATGGAAGCTACATACAGGGTTCAAGGCCAGTCTGAGCTACTTGAAACCCTGTGTCAAAAACAAAAACCCAACAATAACAAATAACATTTTTTAATATTTTATTATTTTTTATTTTGTGTATATGAGTGTGTTGCCTGCATATGTGTAAATGCAACTGTGTTGTGCAATGCCTGTGGAGGCCAGAAGTGGGTGTCAGATCCCCTGAACTGGAGTTAATGGACAGTTGTTAGCTGCCATGTGGGTGCTGGGATTCGAACCTGGGTCTTCTGCAAGAACAGCCAGTGTTCTTAACTACTGAGCCATCTCTCCAGCCCCACAAATAACATCTTTATTGAACATATGCAGGCTTTTGTTTTTGTCATTCTCTAAACACAGTATAACACCTATTTCCAGAGATAATTTTTAAGGATACAGGAGGAGCATGACGTGGTGGTGCTTGCCTACAATCCCAGCATTTCTGAAGTGAAGGGGTCGGGGGTCAGGAGTTAGAGGTCATCCTTTCCTACATAGCAAGTTTGAGGCCAGCCTGGACCACATAAGACTCAAGTCATAAAAACAAAATATACAGCCAGGTGTGGTGGCACACACCTGTGATTCCAGCACTTGGGAGGCAGAGGTAGGTGGTCTACATAGTGAGTTCCAGGCCAGCTGGGACTACAGCTGAGACCCTGTTTCAAAAAAAAAAAAGTGTATACAGGAGGATGTGCATATACTGCCCCAATTTAAAAGGCTTGAGCATCTGGACGTTAGGGTACTCGTGAAGTCCTGATACCAATGTCCCCACAGATAGTGACAGCAGGCTGTAGTTGGTCTCTTGGTTGTTCGACCTCCTCCAGCAGATGAAGTTGAAAGGCAAGGAAAGGATTTCAGATTTTTCTCCGTTATGTGCAAAGCACAAAACCTGGCATATAAACTTACTATAGGTGTTGAGTTCTAATTAGCCCTGTCAAGTGAATGCAAAAATGGAGACTCCCAGCCAAGGTCTATGTTGGCACCTGAGGAAGAGCTAAAGCCTTCTAGCGTGGGCTTTCTTCTCCCAATTCCCACAGCATTCTTCATCTTCTTCCCACCCGTGTCTCCGTGTGTAAACTCACACACACTGGAATAATGCACCAGCTCCTTCACCTCAGCCCCTCTCTGTGCTCTTCAGGACATTCACAGAGACCATGAGTTCCCTGTGCCCTGGGAAGCCGTGGCAGACCAAGCTGAGCAGTGCGGGACTTGTGTATCTACACTTTGGGCACAAGCTACTAGCCCAGTTGCTGGGCACTAGTGAAGAGGACACTGTGGTGGATACCCTCTATGACAAGGTGAGGACCTGAGGGCAAACTTGTCCCACATACACATTTCCACCAGGCTGGCTAGAAGTGATGCTGGTGAAACACCGGACTGGGCCTCCAATCAGAGTTCCTGGCCCATACAGGACCCAACAGTCACCCTCCCCATCAGAAATCTCTCTTCTAACCTGCATCCTGGAGTAGGGGTGAGGAATGGATAATTAATATATAGGAAAGGGCTTTGGTACTTTATTATTCTGAGATTTTTATTTAATGTGTATGTATCGCCTGCATGTGGGTAAGTGCACCCGTGTTGGGCAATGCCCGCAGAGGTCAGAGGAGGGCATTGAATCCTTGGAACTGGAGTTACAGACAGTTGTTAGCCACCATGTAGGTGCTGAGAATCAAAACCAGGTCCTCTGCAAGAGCCATCTCTCCAGCCTGATATTTTGAAAGAGTTGGCTGACCTTAAACTTGGGACTTAAGCAGTATGCTTACTTCAGCCCTTTAAGTGCTAAGGCTATAGGTGTACACTGCCACACCATTGTGAGGAAGAACTTTGAAAGCAGCATTTCCTAGTCTTTTTCTTGACATATATTAAAAACAATTATTTTAGGTGTGTTGGTATATACTTTTCCCAGCACTTGTGAGGCTTAGGCACCTGTACTTGGTCTCAAAAACTAAATCAATTGATGTTTTACCATCATAAAAATTAAATTTCTGGGGCTGGAGAGATGGCTTAGAAATTAAGAACATTGCTCTTGCAGAGGACTCGGGTTTGATTCCCAGCACCCACATGGCGGCTACAAACCGTCTTTCACTCCAGTTCCAGGGGAATCCGAAGCCCTCTTCTGACCTCCACAGCATTGCACAACATGGGTGTACTCAAATACATGCAGGCAATACACTGATAGACAAAATTAAAAAAAAAAAAATTAAGTATTTAAAATAAATAAATAAATAAAAACAATTTCTAAACCAAAAAAATTTAAGGGGCTGGAGAGAAGGCTCAGTATTTGGGAGCATTGGCTGCTCTTGCAGAGGACCCAGGTTTGATTCCCAGCACCCACATCAGAGTTATCTTTTGATACTCTGAGTAAACAGAGAAAGCTACTGTTGAGCATCTCAGCATCACTTAATTCACTCGTGACACAGGAGTTGGCAAACTCAGGTGAAAAGGGACTGAACTGAACTGATTATAGGTACCTCTTCAGGTTCTGGCTGGTAGACCTCCTAGTATGTCAGGCCAAACAGTACCAAGGACACCTATTGAACACCCCACTCCTGTGAAGTTTACAAATCAAACTTTAGGTTCACTCAATCCCCAGCACCTCAAACAGAACCCTGAGACTTAGCCAGCAGTTTTACAAGTAGGCTGTTGAGTTTTAGGTCTCAAGCTTTGTTTGCCAGTGTCTGTTCCCATGACAGCATAAGTGTATGACAAAAGAACTATGAATAGGTTAGAGTTGGCTTTAGACTATGGGGCGGTTTTTAAATTTCCATTTCTGATGGGTTTTCTAAGCAGCTGACTAAGCCAGTGATAGGATTCAGTTTGGGGTTTTGGGTTTCATTTATTATTTTTATTTTATATGTATGTGTGTATTGCCTGCATATATGGAAGTGCACCTGTGTCATGCAATGCCCTTGGAGGTCAGAAGAGGGGGTCGGATCCCCTAGAATTCCCCCTAGAACTGGAGTTACAGACAGTTGTTAGCTGCCATGTGGGTGCTGGGATTTGAACCCGGGTCTTCTGCAAGAAAAACCAGTGCTCTTAACTGCTGAGCCATCTCTCTAGGCCCGAGGCCATCTTTTGTAGGGCAATTTCATTGATTCTGCCCTGAAACTCAAGGTATTGTCCTACTGTTTCTTCATGCTCAAATGTCACAGCTGATAGCATATGGCACATCATGGGCTTCCTTGGAACCTAAAGCCCCATATCCCAGCTCTTGTCTGCCTAGCGTTCCCTGCCACTTAACTATATTTGGCCAGACCCTCCACTACCTCATGAACTTAGTGCACCACCTACTCAGCCCACCTAGAGATCTGCTTTCCCTGAACCCTAAGAAACCATTCCCACAACCCTCTCTAGGAATTGAAACCCTTGTTCCAAAGTCAATAGCAGCTCCTCCACACACATACTGGCTTTGGCCTTGGCTTTGGGTGGTGCGCCCCGGGGTTGGAATCCAGCCCTAACACTTTTAACATTAACTACTATATTCCCCAGTTCTCCCTCTTCGCATCTGATCGATGGTGAAACACTCATACTCTGTCATGAGAACTACATACTTACATACCGTGAAACCTAGCTGACTTTCACAACGATAGGTATCCTCAACAACATCTCCCCTGCTGCTGCCTTAGATGTATGAAAACTTCGTGGAGGAAGTAGATGCAGTGGACAATGGCATCTCCCAGTGGGAGGAGGGGGAGCCTCGATATGCACTGACCACTACATTGAGTGCCCGGGTTGCTCGGCTTAATCCCACCTGGAACCAGCCCAACCAAGACACTGAGGTAAGGAGAGTCCCTGAGAAAGAACCTGAGTCATGTCAGAACCTCAGACGAGGGAGTGGGAATGGCACTCGAAGTTAAATTTGGGCCGGCGCCCACCATGTTTCCTGTTCCCACCATTCCCAGGCAGGGTTCAGGCATGCAATGGAGCTGGTTCAGGAGGAGTTTTTGCAGAGACTAAATTTCTACCAACACAGCTGGCTGCCAGCCCGGGCCTTAGTAGAAGAGGCCCTGGCCCAACGATTCAAGGTATAGGCCTGGGAGTGGCCTAGGGATCAGTGATGGTTACCATCTGGTCAACTGTGGCTTCCACTTCTACCAAAACCTAGCCACACCCTACTTATCTTTCAGGTGGACCCAAGTGGGAAGATAGTGGAACTGGCAAAAGGTGGATGCCCTTGGAAAGAGCATCTCTACCACTTGGAATCTGAGCTCTCCCCACCAGTGGCCATCAGTTTTGTTATCTATACTGACCAGGCTGGACAGTGGCGAGTCCAGTGTGTGCCCAAGGAGCCTCACTCATTCCAGAGCCGGTGAGTCCCCCACAGAGCTACCCTACCCTCCTTCAGGTGTGTTTCAGGCTGCCACACTTGATCTCTGCACTGCTCATCTCTTAGTTCCTCAGACCTCCATCTGCTCTTACCAGTTCCTTCTTTCTGTCCACTTGTAGGCTGCCCCTGCCAGAGCCATGGCGGGGACTCCGGGATGAGGCCCTGGACCAGGTTAGTGGGATCCCTGGCTGCATCTTCGTCCATGCCAGTGGCTTCATTGGTGGGCACCACACTCGAGAAGGTGCTCTGAGCATGGCCCGTGCCACTCTCGGCCAGCACCTAGCACCCATGCCCCCTGCAAAGCCATAGGCAAATAAAACTTCTTTCACATCTCACTGACTCAGTACTTGAGCCATCATTGCCCTCCACCATTCTGAGAACTTGCTCAAACTGTGAAAGACCCTATACTAGGTATTTTCCCACTACATCTCAGCTTTGCTTTCCAAATCATTTGAAAAACATCCAGTTCCTATAGCTAAATAACTTGACTGAATTCACAAATAGCCAAAAAGTGACAGAATCTTATCCAGAGTCCATTCTTTTTTCTCACTATACCCCAGTACAACATGCTAGAAAAAAAAAAAACAGAGCCTGGTAACAAAACTTTACTACTACAAGTGGAGGGGAAGAGAGTGGGGCTGAGCAGATGGTACCCCTGGAAGAGTCTCCCAAGGGGCAGAGCTTGGGGATGTCTCAGTAAATAGTGGCACTTCATGAATAGAGCCTCCACCTCCAGCTGGGGGCTCCTGGGCCCAGCCAAACACTGGGCTAAAACGTGGAAACTGGGCATTGACAAAGTATAGAGGGATGTGGGCAATTCGGCCTGTGGACCAGCACTGCAGAGAATAGAGAAACAAAATTATCAGTGTCTAATCCTAAAAGCAGCCTCATAGTAGAGCCACATAGCAGCCACAGCCCTTGGGTCTCCAGCCATTCCCAAGTTCCCCCATATGCCCCTGCCCCTAGTCTACTCACCACAGTGAGCAAGGCCCCTTTGTTGAAGGAAGGATGGAAAGTGATGAGCTGGGCCTGGGCTCCTGGCTCCCCCTGGATAATGCCACTAGGGCAAGAAGAGATAGAAGTAAGAAGGAAATGGAGGCAAAGGGAGGGTCCTGCAGTGGGATGTGCTGTGGAGCACAGACCCAAGGACCTATTCTGCACTTACCAAGGAAGCAGCTCAAACACCGGGCTGTTTCGAGTGCGAAAAAGGAGGATGACTGGAGTCCCATCCTGTACCCGTGGATTTCCTGTAAGAAAGAGGTCCACAAATACAGGAATCTCTGGAAGCAGAGTCCCAGAGGGCAGGGGCAGACAACTGTAGCCCTGGTACTAAAAATCATTGAATAGAGAAGGCTATGGCTTAATAAAACCCTTCCAGCCAGGCATGGTGGTGCACGCCTTTACTCATAGCACTTGGGAGGCAGAGGCAGGTGGATTTCTGTGAGTTCAAGGCCAGCCTGGTCTACATAGTTCCAGGACAGCTGGGGCTACAGGGAGACCCTGTCTCAAAAAGACAAAATAAAAATAAAGCCCTTCCTTCCAACTCCTTACCTTTCATGAGCACAGCCAGCCGCTCCCCACTGGGGTCCCAAACCATGGAGTGGGCCTCTCCCCCGAGCCTGTGGCCAGGACAGGAGGTCAGGGGCATTCAGTGTGGGTCTTTCCACCTTTTCACCACCCCTCCCACGGGCACTCAGCTCACCTTTCCTCTCCATTTGGTGTCTGTATTGTTGTCTCAGAAAGATCTGCTACAATTGTTGCTAACTTGGCACCCCCAACATGCCCCTTCCTCTCTCCTGTAAGTACAGCGGTTCTTGCTTAGTGCAGGAATCAACCGACCCTCCCACTGGTCCCTGCCAGCTTATCACAGGCATCAACACTTCTGAAGTGTCTGCTTCCATCTGTCCCTTGAAGTAGCATCCTACGGGTTGCCGTCTCCCTCTGACTACCCCATAGCCTACATTCTGAAAGACCATCACTCACCACATCGCTCTGGGAACGACAAGGAATAAATTAGTGGTTCCCCCAGTACAGTGAACAGCAGTCGGTTTCCATCTGGACTCCAGCAGCCAGTCTGGAAACAGGAGGGAGAAAGACAGAGGAAAGTAGGTCTATAGGAGGAGGTAGGCAGGAGCGTAGAGGAGGTAGGGGGCTGGGCAAGGGGGGAGCAGAGGATCAGGCCCATTGAAATTCCTATTCTCCCCAACTTCTGTGACTCAACAGTCCCCTCTTACCTGACAGCGCCCTGATAGAGTTGGCCACCTCTCACAAGTCCACATCTGGGCTTCCCAGACTCTGCAAGAGATAGGCAGATTACAACATAGGGCTAGGGTCTTTAGGCTCCAAAACATGGAGCATCCCACCTGACAAATCTCAGGGCCAGTTTCCAGAAGCCAAGTCTTTCTCTGGTTCTTTTCTGGGTTCTTGGCCTCCCCCAACCTTTCACCCACTCACCGAAAGACAGCTGAAGGAGTGGTGGCCAAGACTTTGCTGCCATCTGGAGACCACAGCAAGTTGGTAACCCCACCTCCTCGGAACCAGGGAAGGGGGACGCAAATTTCTGTTGAGACATCCCATACCTAGGACAAAGGGGACAGCAGTAGACAGAAACTCAAACACCCTATCAGCTCACAGTGGGCTGCCTTCTTCCGCCTTCTTCCATGCACAACAGACCAGAAAACAGAGGAGCTGGGAAAAGACTACCCAACATGCAGACCTGCATTTACACTTCCAATGAGAGTTGGTAGTTTCAGATCTGAGGAGGGGGAATGGAGCTCCTTCACATAAATCGAAGATAAAAGAACATCTATGTCACGCTTTTGCCCATGCTTTCCACCAACAGGTTAAGAAGGCTCTTGCCTCAACATTGAGGGGTGGGGACCAACTCACCAGGATAGCAGCATCCACAGGTGAGGCTGAGAGCAACCGCCCCCCACTGGGGGCCCAGGCCAAGCTGGTGACTGGTGAGTGCCCAGGGTGAGATAATACCTGGGCACAGCCAGAGGAGGGTCTGTCAAGGAGAAGCAAAGGGTGTGGAGTGAAAAGATGGTAACAAAAAAGCCCCAACAGGGAGGGCTGGAGAGATGGCTCAATGGTTAAAAGCACTTGCTGTTCTAGAGGACCTCAGTTCAATTCCCAGCACCCACGTTAAGTAGCTCACAACCACCTGTAACTCCACTTTCAGGGGATCAGATGCCCTCTTCTGGCCTCCCCTGACACCCATGTACACACACAAAATAAAACTAAATCTTTAAAGACATAAAAGCCAGCTGGGTGTGGTAGCACATGCCTTTAGTTCTAGCACTCAGGAGGCAGAGGCAGGCAGATCTCTGTTGAGTTCAAGGCCACCTGGGGCTACAGGGAGACCCTGTCGCAAAAAATAAATAAATAAATAAATAAATAAATAAATAAATAAATAAATAAATAAATAAATAAATAAATAAATAAATAAAATAAAATAAAATAAAAAAAATAAATAAATAAATAAATAAATAAATAAATCAGTTAAGAGCACTGGCTGCTTTTGCAGAAATTTTGAGTTCAGTTCCCAACACCCACTCAGTGGCTAACAGCCATCTGCTACTCCAGTTCCAAGGAATCTGACTCTGGTCACTGCATGCATAGGTACACTTACATACATGCAGGCAAAATACACAACATAAAAATAAAAACTTTTAAATAGTGATGACAACAAAAAAAAAAAAAAAACAAGAAAAAATATTAACAACAAAATAAGGACTTGGGGCTGAGGAGATGGGTCAGTGGTTAAGAACACTGGTTGTTCTTGCAGAAGACTGGGTTCAAATCCCAGCACCCAAATGGCAGCTAACAGCTGTCCGTAGCCCCAGTTCCAGGGGATCCAACAGCCTCTTCTGTCTTCTGCGGGCATTGCACAATACAGGTGCACCTACCTACATGGAGGCAATACACACATACGCATAAAATAAAAATAATAAGTATTTTTAAAAAATAAATAAGGACTTAACAAGTGAGAGCCAAGTAATTTAGTTCATAGTAATGGACAAATGTCAGTTTCTTAGTTTTGAGAAGTACAACATACCTTTGAAAAGGTAACATGAGATGCTAAAAAAGCAACTGAATTAAGAGTACACTGAAAATTACTAACATTGTAACTTCTTTATAAATTTAAGGCTATGAGGCCTGGTGCGGTGGCACACCTTTAATCCCAGCACTTGGGAGGCAGAGGCAGTTGGATCTCTGTGAGTTCAAGGCCAGCCTGGTCTACATAGTGAGTTCCAGGACAGCTGGGGCTACAGGGAGACCCTGTCTCAAAAAGACCAAAAAAAAGTAATAATAAAATAATTTTTTAAATCTATTTTTATTATCTGTATGCATGTTTTTCCTGTGTGTATGTCAGTGCACCACATGTGAGTAATGCCCAAGGAGGCCAGAAGAGTACACTGGACCCACTAGAACCGGAGTTTTGATGGTTGTCAGCTGCCATGTGAGTGCTGGGAACTGAACCCAGGTCCTCTGCAAGAGCAGCCGGTGCGCTGAACTGCTCAGCCATCTCTCCAACCCCCCTGACATCTTTTTTAGTGGTAGAAAGTACATCATTTAGATTTTCAAATTTGGTAGCTGAAATAGGTACATAATATTTATAATTCTTTTCTTTCTTTCATCTCTCCCTTTCATGTCACACCCCTGCTCTTTATTTATTTAGAGTTTCAGGTCTCCCTTTGTTGTCTAGGCTGGCCAAAACCTGATCTGAAGTAGTCCTAATGTCTCAGCCTCCCAAGTGCTGGGCCTACAGCATGGCTCGTCCTCATCTGGGTCTGCCCAAGAGGTTTTCCTATTTATAATTTTACAGTTTTCTGGTTTTAGGTTTAGTTCTCATGGGAACTGTTGTTGCACTTCAGTGGTTTCTACTCATTTCTGTTATTTAGTCCTTTATCCTTCCTATTTGCTTAAGACACAGTCTCACAACATAGCCCTGTCTGCCTCTGCCTCTGCCTGGAGTGCTGGGATTAAAGGCATATGACACCACACCTGGCCTCTGCCCTTCCTTTAAACCTCTAGCTGACAGTGCATGACCCACAAATACATTCTCCCATAATCCTAGAAGCCTCTAGGTTCTGTCCCTTTGTCAGGACAGAGCATCTTAGCACCCCACCTTAACCTTAGCCCTGGTAAGTGCTATGATGACAAAGAACTTCATCCAGATTCCCCACAGGTCATACCCTTGGCACGACCACCCTCTGGCTGCCAGGACTCACCGGGTAGACAAGGAGGTAGGATCCAGGGTCCAGATGAGAATACAGCTCTGACAGGCCACAGCCAATACTGAGGCACCAAGGGGTTTCCAGGCCAGAGCTGCCACATTTCGCTGCAGTCGGTGCTTCAGGGAGGGAACTATAGTGCTAGGGTAAAGAGGTAGGGACCAGTCAAAGCAGGGACATAGCTCAAGAGACCCCAGACCAATTTAAAAGGTAAAATGGGGGTTGGGGATTTAGCTCAGTGGTAGAGCGCTTGCCTAGCAAGCCCAAGGCCCTGGGTTCGGTCCTTCTCAGCTCTGGGAAGAAAAAAAAGATAAAAGGAAGCTGGGTGTGGTGCACTTTTAGTCCCAACGCACGGGAGGCAGAGGCAGGAGGATCTCTATGAGTTCAAGGCCAGCCTGGGCTACATAGTGAAACCCTGTAAGTAAAACCATACAAAAGAAAGGTGATGCAGGGGCTAGGGAGGGATGGGACTGGAGAGGTGGCTCAGCAGTTAAGAGCACTGGCTGCTTTTGCAGAGGGGCGGGCTTTGGTTCCCAGCACTTACATACATGCAGGCAAAACACTCATATACATAGAATTTTTTAAATTTTTAGCTAAAAAGAAAAAAGCCAGGTGTAGTGACCCACGCCTTTAATCCCAGTACTGGGGAGGCAGAGGCAGACGGATCTCTGAGAGTTCAAGGCCAGTCTGGTCTATACAGTGAGTTCCAGAATAGCTGGAACTACAGGGAGACCCTGCCTCAAAAAGACCAAAAACAGACAAAGGAAGGGAGGAAGAGAGGAAGGGGTCAATCCAGGGTTTCAAGAGCACAGCGTATTGTGGGTCAGAGGGATAAGTTAAAGGTTAGGTATAGAAAGGACACAGCCAGTTTTGGACTTTCCCCAACCCAATTCTGGAGCCTTGTGGATCAGTTCAGGAAGTACAGGACTGCCCAGGACCAAGGCTGAAAAGGTGAGACAAGTCTGAACCTGCTACAAATACCCACATACCTGTTGGCATTATACACACGGATGGAGTCATCCAGCAGGGCCACTGCAAACTTGTTGGTGTGAGGGTGCCACGAAAAAACTCGCAAGCAACAGCTGGACCTGGGGCAGGAGTGAGCAAAGACTGGAAGCTGCACCTCCCATGCCCAGCCCAGCAACTCATGTTCCGTCCCACATGATGGTCGTTCACTTGTTCTTTGGTTTCTTTCTAGGGTGGTAGGAGGAGTGACAACACAAAGAATAGAGGGGTCTCTGCCTTAACCTTTCTCTCCCCAGAGGAATTTTTACAGTTCAGGACTTCCTTCCCACAAAGTGCCAGAGCCTGTACACTCACCAATTTGTTACTTGAGCAAACTCAGCAATCAGATCTTCACTCCTGAGCTATAAAAATGCAGCAGAAACATAGAGACACACTAGTACAAAAGGGGTTTACCCATGCAACACACCCATGGGGGAGCTGGACCACTCCCATCTTTTGAATAATCCCACAAAACCTTGACCAGAAAGGCTAAGGCAGGGAGGAAACCAAACTTACAGACAGATGTGGGAACAGGGAGCCATGGAGGGAGGAGGCCCATCGACAAAGAGCTAGAGCCCAGCTGGAGGCTGTCTTTACCCATTCAAACACTGTGAGGTTAAAGAGACAGTTCTGATTAAATCGTCCACAGGGCCCTTACGGGGCACTCTCTTAGGTAAAGACAAAGACAAAACCCCCCAAGTCCACCTGTGTGCCTAGCAGTGGGTCTGGATACCCATTCTAGATATCTGAAGGTATGAAAGAGAAGGTGACAGGAGAAACTCAGGCTAAAGGGAAAGGCTGGGCTAACAGATGCTGGGCTGAGTTTAAGAAGACTGTGGAGGGGGAAGAGTCTAAAATTAGAGAGGGTGAGAGAGAAAATTCTTACCCTCTTCCTCTGAATTTGCAATTTCATTCAGCACCCCAAAAAGGCCCACATCACGCCTGACAAGAAGAGAAAATCAAGAATAAGATTACTCTGATCCTATTACGAGTCCCCCTAACAAGTTTCATTCATTCAACAAACACAAATTAAAAATAAGAGGACTGGGACTAGAGAGATGGCTCAGCGGTTAAGAACACTGACTGTTCTTGCAGAGGACCCGGGTTCGAATCCCAGCACCCACATGGCAGCTAACAACTGTCCGTAACTCCAGTTCCAGGGGATCCGACAGCCTCTTCTGTCTTCCTTAGGCATTGCACGACACAAGTGCACTTACTTGCATGTAGGCAATACACGCATACACATAAAATAAAAATAAGTAAAATAAATAAATAAATAAATAAATAAATAAATAAAAATAAGAGGACTGGGGCTGGAGAGATAGCTCAGCAGTTAAGAACACTGTTCTTGCAGAAGACCCGGGTTCGAATCCCAGCACCCACATGGCAGCTAGCAACTGTCCGTAACTCCAGTTCCAGGGATTCCGAAAGTCTCTTCTGTCCTTTGCAGGCACTGCACAACATGGGTGCACTTACCTACATGCAGGCAATACACACATACACATAAAATAAAAATAATAAATCTTTAAAAAAATGGGCTGGAGAGATGGCTCAGCGGTTAAGAACACTGACTGTTCTTGCAGAAGACCCGGGTTTGAATTCCAGCACCCACACGGCAGCTAACAACTGTCTATAACTCCAGTCCCCAGAGATCTGACAGCCTCTTCTGTCCTCCACAGGCATTGAACGACACGGGTGCACTTACCTACATGAAGGCAATACACACGTACACATAAAAAAAATCAATATTTTTTTAAAAAAAGAAGACAGGGGCCGGGTGTGGTGGTGCACGCCTTTAATCCCAGCACTTGGGAGGCAGAGGCAGGGGCAGGGGCAGGCAGATCTCTGTGAGTTCAAGGCCAGCCTGGTCTCCATAGTGAGTTCCAGGACAGCTGGGGCTACAGGAGACCCCGTCTCAAAAAAAAAAGAAGACGGAGGTGTAGCTCAGTTGTTAGAGTGCCTGACTAGCACAAAGTCTTGGGTTCGATTCCCACCACTGCATAAAATTAGGTGTGGTAGCACATGCCTGTAATCCCAGCACTTGGGAGGTAGAAGTAGGAGAATCAGAAGTTCAAGACCCACAGTGAGTTTGAGGCCAGCATATGCTAGATGAGGCACTGATTTTTTTTGAAAAAAATAATAGGGGTAAGAGATGGCACTGGGGTTAAAAGCAATGGCCGCTCTTGCAGAGGACCCAAGTTTGCTTCCCAGAACCTACATGACAGCTAACAACTGTCCCTAATTGTAGTTTCAGGGGATCCAAAGCCCTCTTCTGACTTCTGCAGGCACTGCAGGACATGGGTGCCCTTATATACATGCAGGCAAAACACTCACACACATAAAAATAAATTTAAAAAAAATTTTAAAGTAATGGGTGCTGACAATCTACCTGGAACTTTTTAAAAATAGTGTTTTTTATTTTTTTTTATTTATTTTTGGGGGGGGTCTTTTTGAAGCAGGGTCTCCCTGTAAGCCCCAGCTGTCCTGGAACTCACTATGTAGACCAGGCTGGCCTTGAACTCACAGAGATCCACCTGCCTCTGCCTCCCGAGTGCTGGGACTACAGGCGTGTGCCACCACACCCGGCTATTATTTTTTTTTATCTTAATTATTTTTACTTTATGTGTATGCATGTACTGCATGCATGTAGGTAAGTGCACCCATGTTGTACAATACCCACAGCAGTCAGAAGAGGCTGTCAGATACCCTGGGACTGAAGTTATGGACAGTTGTTAGCTGCCATGCTGGGATTTGAACCCAGGTCTTCTGCAAGAACAACCAGTGTTCTTAACCTTTGAGCCATCTTGCCAGCTCCATGTTTATTATTTTATGTGTATAAGTGTATTGCCTGCATGTGTGTACGTGCACCCATGTTGTGCAATGCCCACGGAGGTCAGAAGAAGGCATCAGATCCCCTGGAACTGGAGTTACGGATGGTTGTTAGCCACCATGTGGGTTCTGGTACTCCAACCAGGAGTTCTCTGCAAGAGCAGTCAGTGCTCTTAACAGCTGAGCCATCTCTCCAGCCCCCTACTAGGCACTTTATATATTATCCTTTCATTTATTTATCACACTAATCTTCTGAATGACATTTTATCCACTTACAGATGAGGCCACTAAATCTAAGGGATCAGGTCATAGATTCAGAACTTGCTTTCTTGCTTTCAGACAGTGAATGGAAAGTCATGAAAAGGTCTTAAGCAAAGGAAAAAAGTAATTACATGAGCATTTCAGAAAGATCAGTCTGGACCAAGACTAGAAGGGCTCAGAATAGAAAGAAAGGAATCAGGACACAAGACTCTTCAAAAAAAAGTGATGTGGTCAGCATGATGGTACACACCTTTATTCCCAGCACTTGGGAGGCAGGGGCAGGCAGATCTTTGTAAGATCAAAGCCAGCCTGGTATATATAGTGAGTTCCAGGCCAGCCAGGGCTATATACTCTTGTGTCAAAAACAAAACAAAATAGAAAGGTGAAGTGATCTGAACCTGTGAGATACAGAAAAGGAAAGAGTTGAGAAACTTAGGAAATAGAGAACACAGATTTGAGGAATAATTACAACAGTAGTAAGGGAAAAGGTAATATCCAGAGAAACACCTAACAGTAAATATATCAGCAAATATGTCTATAATGTACCAGGTACTAGGCCAGGTGCTTCTGTGATCCAATTTAGCCATTACACAATCCTACTGTCAAATATCTTTGTTCTGTTTGGATTTTTGTTTTGTTTGGTTTTCTTTTTCTCAATCTTGCAACTGAGGATGACCATGAATTTCTGATCTTCCTGCTTTCACCTCCCTAATGCTGGAACTACAGGCATGCACCTCCACACCCAATTTTATTGGTGCTGGAGAGAACCCAGGACTTTACATGCTTAGCAAGCCACTCTATCAACTGAGCTACATTGCCTAGTCCTGTATGTATAATTTTTGATAAAAAAGACTGTTTGGTAACAACTCACAAAATAACAAATGAACATAACTCATCAATCTAGCAACTTAATTTCCAGGAAGTTTTCTTACAGGTAACAGTAATGATAGCAGCTAAGTCTTCAAGGGATTAATATGTGCTAGGACTTGTTCTTTAAGTACTTTGCATCTACTTAATCACCACTACAACACATATAAGACAGGTTTCATTTTACTGGTGAAGAAAATGAGGGTCAGAATAATTAAGTAATTTGCCCAAGGCCATGTAACTAAAAAAAAATGGTGGTTAGAAACCAGACATCATACCTCCAGCTCTTTTTTTCTTTTTGTCTTTTGAAACAGGGTCACCTTGTAGCTCCAGCTGGCCTGGAACTCACTATGTAGACCAGGCTGGCCTTGAACTCACAGAGATCTGCCTGCCTCTGCCTCCCAAGTGCTGGGACTACAGGTGTGCACTACCACACCCAGCTAGCTCCAGCTCTCAAGTGTGCAAAATGAATGACCTATGTAGATTAACCAATACAACCTTATACCAAACTATGCAGAGCTTCAGGTAAAAGCTCAAAAGTAATAATAACATGAGGTGGGTGAAGAGAGCAGATCTGTATAATCAATCCAGAAAGCAAAGCCAGACACTAGAGATAAAATGGAGCTACTGGTGAAGCCTTGAGTTACACAATAAGAGGAATAGTGATTTCATTTTCTCCAGGGTCTGTAGACCTAGGGAACTCTTTGCCATGCCTCACCAAACATTGATGCATCTTTTCCACACTTGCTCCCTGTGATGGATGAAGGCAGTTCTTGTACCATGGTCCAGCCTCCCAGGGGTTTTTAAGGGATCCTTGGTCAAGTGTAGGACAGGAAGATTGATCCACTATAACTCAGAAACAAGGAGGGTGTAAGAGTCAGTCCCTTTCAGAAATCTTTTCTGAAGACCCTGTCATCTCCAGCCCACAGCTGGACTAAGCATATTTCCCACATGCACAATTTGACAGTTCTCAGAAAGAGAACTTTAGTCCTTCTTAGCTGCAAAATCCAACCGTTCTCCGTTGGGTTTACTTTAGAGAAGACCTGACTCAGAGCATCCTTCGTATAGATTCCCTCCACCCACTCTAGGACCGCCTCACATCCCCTTGGCGACCCTTACAAGCCAATACCAAACCTAAAATACATTTCCTTCTATCTAAAACTGTCCTGGGGGGCCAGTCTTTTACAGCAGGCCAGTCTCTGAGTCCCCGCCTCGCCGCCTCCAATTGCCCCTTTCCCCTGATCCCGTCCCCACTCCTATAGGTCCCCTCTCCGCCCGGACCACCTGGCCCCGGAAGTCGGGAGGCGGGCTCTCATAGCTTCTGCCTGTCACCAGTTCGTTATTGTGCTCATATAAGGTGACTTGACCCCTAGGCGGTGGCGGGGGAAACAACCCCAGGGAGCACATCTTGCCAGTCCGGAGGACGCCTGGAATCGGTAAGCTCCCAGGTGGATTACTCCTCTGACTTAGTTCCCGGGCTAGATTCGTATCCGGACGGGTAGCCGTACAGGACAAACGACCTCGCGAAGCTCAACGGAAGTTCAATGAAGAAGGTGTTTTGTACAGTTCCGGGTGGACTTCCGGAAAGTCCTTGCTCGCCCCCTGGCGGACGGAGCGGGCACAGTGCGGACACGTTTGCAGAGCTAACCTTTAGTCAAGAGCCACGGTTTATTTTGTTTTGTTTCCTGTGAGACCGTTGTTTTTTTTCCAACTCCGAATCCCCCAACACTGTCTCCCACTCATTATCTCAAGATGGAGAGGGTCCAAAATAAGCCATGTTTAGGAAAGTACCTAATTAAACTCCCAAAGGCCCGTAGATAGCCCCAAAGAAAAGAGACTGTGTCACTGTGTCCACCGCACTTGGCTGAAAGCTCAGGGAAGACCTGGAGGAGGGGAGGCAGGAATGACCGACCTTGGGAGACACAGTTCTGTCCCTGATGAACCCAGAGCTCACAGGATGAGGGTTCCTGAAAGACAAAGTGGGACACTTGGGAAAACAGTAACATTTCCTGAGTATATTACTTAAACGTTTTTACAATCCCTGCAATACCCCCAGAGATGCACTGTTGTACTACCAGTAGCAAAGCAGATACAGAGATTAAACCTAGATGTAGTTGAAAATGGCATTGACGGACTATGTTGGCCTAAAACTGTAATCCCACCAGGATGTGGCGGTGGGAGTACAATCTCAACGTGGGCTCTAAAGCAAGACCCTGTCTCAAAATCCCTACACCCGGCACTGGGAAGGTGAGAAAGAAGGATCTGAAGTTCAAGATCATCCTCTGCTACACAGTGAGTTCTCTGCCAGCTTGGACTACGTCAGAACCTTTCCCAAGGGGGTGAGGGGCGTTTCAGCCATTAGGTTAAGAGCCAGGGTACAGTCCCCAGTACCCACATAGCAGCTCCACAGGCACTGCATACATCAGGTACACATACATACAAGCAGAACACATAAAAATAAAAGTTTTAAAATCGATTTTTAAAAGATTTTATTTTTAGCTGGGCGTGGTGGCAATCACCTGTAGTCCCAGCACTTGGGAGGCAGAGGCAGGCAGAACTCTCTGTGAGTTCAAGGCCAGCCTGGTCTACATAGTGAGTTCCAGGACAGCTCGGGCTACAGGGAGACCCTGTCTCAAAAAGACCAAAAAAAAAAAAATTTTTTTTTAAAGCACTTACCGAGAGGGTAACCCTCTGTAACTCTAGTTCCAAGGAACCTGACACCCTCTTCTGGCTTCCTCAGGCATTGCATACATGTGGTACACTTACATGCAGGCAAAACACTCATACACATAAAAGTAAATCGTTTAAAAAGAAAAAAAAAACAGCTGGTCAAACATAGGAGTCAGATTGATCTCTGTGAGTTACAGTTAAGCCAGGACTACATGGTGAGACACGCACCCCCCAAAACTAAATAAATAGAACAAAGAAAATGAAATAAAGCTAAAGGAAGGTAAAGGATAAAACTAAAACTGGAGTGTAAAGAAGAATGGAAAGCTGGGCGTGGTGGCACACACCTTTAGTCCCAGCATTTGGGAGGCAGAGGCTGGTGGATCTCTGTGAGTTCAAGGTCAGCGTAGTCTACAGTGAGTTCCAGGGAGACCCTGTTTCAAAAAGAGCAAAGAAGAGAAGAATGGGAAACCTAGCATGGAGTTACTCCCAGAAAGAGGCAGGTGGACCTCTGTGAGTTTGAGACCAGCCTGGTCTACATAGTGAGTCCCAGGTCAGCCAGGGCTACAGGGAGACCCTGTCTCAAAAAAGAGGAGGGGGGAGGGTAGGTGTAAAAACTGGTTATTCTGGGGCTGGAGAGATGGCTCAGCAGTTAAGAGCACTGAGTGCTCTTGAAGAGGACCTGGGTTTGATTCCCAGCACCCACATAGCAGCTACGAACAGTCCTTAACTCCAGTTCCAGGGGAATCCGAAGCCCTCTTCTAACCTCCGCAGCACTGCATGACATGGGTGCCCTCACATACATACAGGCAATACACTCATACACATAAAATAAAAATAATAATTTAAAAAAAAGAAGCCGGGCGTGGTGACACATGCCTGTAGTCCCAACACTTGGGAGGCAGAGGCAGGCGGATCTCTGTGAGTTTAAGGCCAGCCTGGTCTACATTGTGAGTTCCAGGACAGCTGGGGCTACAGGGAGACCCTGTCTCAAAAAGACTAAAAAAAAAAAAAAAAAAAAAAAAGGTAAATATTTTTTTAAAATAATCAATAAATAAATAAATAAATAAATAAATAAATAAACAAACAAAAATAAAGGACTGGAGCAATGACTCAGCAGTAAAGAGCACTGACTGCTCTTCCAGAGGACCCAGGTTCAAGTCCTAGCATTCACACCACAGCAGTTAACAACCGTTGTGTTCGTTGCTCCAGTTCCAGGGGATCTGACACCCTCTTCTGTCCTCTGTGGGCACTGCACAATATAGGTGCACATACTTACATACAGGCAAAACACTCATACACAAAAAATAAAAATAAATCTTTTAAAAATATTTTTTATGGTGTATGAATGTATTGCCTGCAAGTTTGTAAGTGCATCCATGTCGTGAAATGCCCGAGGATGTCAGAAGAAGGTGTCAGATTCCTCTGGAACTGGAGTTACAGATGGTTGTTACCCACCATGTGGGTGCTGGGAATCAAAAACAGGTCCTCTGCAAGAGCAGCCAGTGCCAACTCTCTGGCCCTAAAAAAAAAAATCTTTGAGGGGGCTGGAGAGATGGCTCAGCAGTTAAGAACACTGACTGTTCTTGTAGAAGACCCAGGTTTGAATCCCAGCACCCACATGGCAGCTAACAACTGTCTGTAACTCCAGTTCCAGGGGATTGACAGCCTCTTATGTCCTCCTTGGGCATTGCATGATGCGAGTGCACTTACCTACATGTAGGCAATACATGCATACACATAAAATAAAAATAATAAATGTTTTTTTAAAATCTTTGAAAAAATTAAGTAAGGACTGGAGAGGTGGCTCAGTGATTAAATGCTCTGTCTGCTCTTGTAGAGGAACCAGGTTCAAATCCTAGCACCTACATGGTGGCTAACAACTGTCCATGGCTCCAGTCCCAGGGAATCCAGTGCCCTCTTCTGACCCCTGAGGGCATTGCACAACACCAGTGCACTTACATGCATGCAGGCAAAACACTCATACACAGAAAATAATTTAAAAATTAAAGCTGGGTGTGGTGGTGCATGCCTGTAGTCCCAGCACTTGGGAGGCAGAGGCAGATGGATCTCTGTGAGTTCAAGGCCAGCCTGGTCTACATAGTGAGTTCCAGGCCAGCTGGGACTACAGGGAAACGCTGTCCCAAAATGACCAAAAAAATTTTTTTTTAATTAAATAAAAATAAACTACTTTTTTCAGAAAGCCTACCTTAGGGACTCCTTACAGCTGAGTGAGTCATTGTCCTGCCTCAGCCTCCCAAGTGCTAAGATTATAGGCATGTGCCATTAGCATATATAGAGATAGGGTCTCCTTATAGTCCAGCTGATCTGGAACTCTCTACCTAAACCATGTTGTTTTGGGTTTTTTTTTTGTTTTTTTTGTTTTTTTTTTGGTCTTTTTGAGACATGGGGTCTCCCTGGCCCCAGGTGGCCTGAAACTCACTATGTGCACCAGGCTGGCCTTGAACTCACAAAGATCCACCTGCCTCTGCCTCCCAAGAGCTGGGATTAAAGCTGTGAGCCACCCCACACTCAGCACATATTGTTATTTTTAAAGTGAACTTATAGACAGCATAGAATTGGATCATGGGGTTTCTGTTTTGAAACAGGGTCTCATCAGACCAGACTGGATATGGACTGGATATATTGGATGACCCTGAACTCCAGGTTCTCCTGCCTTCACCCCCACAAGTGCTGAGTCATGGAATTCTTTGAGCTTCAGTTTCCTAATTTCACAGTGTCCTAATTATTCTATAAAGGTTATTTCTCAGGGCTAGAGAGATGGCTCAGCTGGGTTTGAATCCCAGCATCTACATGGTGGCTAACAAACATCCTAACCAGCTCCAGGGGATTGCAGGACACAGGTGCACTTACATACATGCAGGCAATATACTCATACACATGAAATAAAAATAAATATTTTTTGAAAAAAAAGATTGTTGCCCATATAGAAAAATGGAAATTAAGCTGTTTAGTGTTATTATAAAGTGCCCAAAGTCATTAGCTATAACTCTGCAACCAACTAGTTGACCCTTGGGCATTGATTTTTTTTTTTCTTTTTTCTTAGTTTATATTTTTAAACACTTTTTTCTATTTTATGTGTATGAGTGTATTGCCTGCATGTATGTGAGTGTATCCGTGTTGTGCAATGCCACGGAGGTCAGAAGAGGGCATCATATTCCCCTGGAACTGGAGTTAAGGGCAGTTCGTAGCTGCCATGTAGGTGCTGGGAATTGAACCCGGGTCCTCTGCAAGAGTAGTCAGTGCTCTTAACCGCTGAGACATCTCTCTAGTCCTCTTTTTTCTTAATTTATTTACCACCATTAGGGAATGAACCCATGGGCTCTGTTCGATAGCTAAGCACAAAATCTATTGAGTTATACTCTTATCCCCTATAAAATGTTAATAAAAGCTGGGCATAGTGTTGTAAGCCTGTATTCCAGCTACAGAGGGAGACCCTGTCAGAAACAAAAAGACCAGGTGTTGTGGCACAGGCCTTTAATCTCAACACTTGGGAGGCAGTGACAGAGGTATCTCTGTAAATTCAAGGCTAGCCTGGTCTACACAGTGAGTGCCAGGTCAGCCAGGACTACATGGAAACCCTGTTTCAAAAAAAAAACTGAAAGAAGGAACTAGAACCAGAGTATAAAGATGAATGGGAGGTGTGATGATTATTTTTTGTTTTGTTTTGTTTTTTGGACAGGGACTCATTCAATGGCCCAGGCTGCTCTGATATTTTAGGAGATCCTCCAGCCTCAGCCTCCGGAGTGCTGGGGATTACAGGCTTGGGTGATTAAGTAATCTTAATTTTCACTGAGGTCCAGGCTAGCCTGGATATGAAAGACCCTGTCTATAAATAAGGATGCAGTAATCACCTGAGAAATTTTTTAAAATATTTTATTTTTAGTATTTTTAGTATTTTATGTGTATGAGCGTATTGCCTGAATATATATGAGTGTACCCATGTCATGCAATGCTGTGGAGGTCAGAAGAGGGCTTCGGATTCCCCTGGAACTCGAGTTAAGGTCGGTTCATAGCAGCCATGTGGGTGCTGGGAATTGAACCCGGGTCCTCTGCAAGAGCAGTCAGTGCTCTTAACTGCTAAGCCATCTCTCCAGCCCCAATAGAGAAATTTTTTAAGATGCAGATTCTAGGCTATTAGAGGCTACAGTTTCAGAGAATCCTCAGATGACATTGCTCAGATCTTCCTTTAAAAACAACAAAACAACAACAACAACAACAACAAACCCCACCAAGGTCTTAGGGTTGGAGCGATGGATCGGTTGTTAGGAGCACTTGCCACTCTTTCAGAGGGCTTGGGTTCGGTGCCCAGCACCTATATGGTCGCTAACGACTGTCCATAACTTCAGTTCCAGAGGATTCAATGCCCTCTCTTGGCCACCTCAGGCATTGCACTCACAGGTGCCCTTACATGTAGGCAAAACAGTCATACAAATGAAAATAAAATTAGGGGACTGGAGAGGTGGTTCAGTGGTTAAGACCCTTGCTGTTTTTCCAGAGGACCTCCTGAGTTTGACTCCCAGCACCCACATGGAGGCTGGCAACCATCTGTAACTCCAGTTCCAGGAGATATGACACCCTCTTCTGGCCTCTGCAGGGCATTGCAAATACACTGAGTGCGGTGGCGCTCAGTGTATTTAGTCCCAGCACTTGGGACATAGCGAGTTCCAGGCCAGCTGGGGCTACAGCGAGACCCTGTCTCAAAAAGACGATAAAAGGAAGGAAGGAAGGACGGAAGGGAGGGAGGGAGGGAGGGAAAGAAGGAAAGAAAAGAAAAGACAGGGTTTTGCTCTATTAATATGTTACCCAGGCTGACCTCATGACCACAAACTATGTAGCTCAGGCTTACCTTGAACTCTGAAATCCTAGGATTACAGGCATGCCTCTCATTTTAAGAGACGTTTTTCCTATTAGCCAGGTTAACTTACTAAATTAATTCACTGTCGGCTGGGGGAGGTCACATAAAGGGCATATGCTTAAAGGCATGAGTTTGGGGAAACTGCCTGGAAAAGGGGGGAGCAGGCAGGTTTGAAAAGAGGGACTTAAACTGTTAGATATCAGGAGACTTCTGAGGCAAACCACTGGCAAAGTTCTTATTTGAACTGCTACCATAATACCATCCAACCCAGAGCTCCAAGAAATCACCCCCACTTGCAGTTTCCAACACCCTGGGATGAAGCCCGCTTTTCATCCTCAGGTTATGTTATCTGCTAGGTGTATGACTCAAGTTTAATGTCCACTGCGAAGAAGTATACTGCCGTTCTGTCCCATGCTCCAGCCCAAGTCCTGTCCCCCTCTTCCATACTGCTTACTTAACATTTATTGAATGGGTTTTACAATTTGTGGCTTGTGGGGAAGCCGAAGTCCAAGCCTAGCACGCCCCTCCCCGCCCCCCACAAACTTCACCGGGGGGCGCGACGGGACGGCCCCGGCGACCAAACTCTGTAGCAGACCTGCGGCCACCCCCAGCGCTCGTCCCTGCGACCAGGGCCGCGGCCGGAGACTTCTAAAAGGGCCCACACACGCTTTGGGCCACATCGCCGGAGTTCGCCCGCCGGAGCCGGGCGCCCCAGGCGCACATGGCCCGCCCGGCCCTGTTTGTCCTGGCAGTGCGCCGCCGCTATTTGAGGCGGTTTTTATCTCCCAGAAACCAGCAAAACCCCAAGCCGAGTCTAGGGAAGATGAAAGGGGCCGAGGGGACTGGGAGGGGAGGACCGCGAGGCTGCGGCGGGCGGGGGCTGGCACCGGACAGGCGGAGGCCGGGAGGCGAGAGGGCCAACCCCTGGGGGGTCCTGTGCGCCCGCCCGGGGTCCGCGCGCAGCCTTGCCCCGGTCCCTTCCGCCGCAACCCCCGGCACGCGAGACAGTCTCGGAACTCGGATTTCTTCAAAGCGCCTTTGAAGCCCCGCGCCCCGCAGGGGGCTGAACTCGCACCTGGGCGGGGGCGGGGTGGTGTTGCCGTCCGGAGCTGCGCCTCCATCACGCGGCCGGTGGACGGCGGGACCCGGGCGCCACGGCCTGGGGAAGCGCCCCGTGCACTCCCTCAGCCCAGCGGGGGAGCCCTGGGGGCGGGGGCCGCACAAAGCCCTATTGTGGCTTGGGGATGGCCGCCACAGAGTGGCTTTTGTTCCTCCACTAACTCCGTGGCGGGCACAACTGATTGCAGGCCCCGGGCAGGGGGCGAGCTATGTGCCAGGCGGGCGTCCACCCCCCCCACCCCGAGTCCTATCACGGCCACGCACTAGTCCGCAGTGACCGCGGTGCTGATGCTCGGGCCGAGTCACTGCCTTGACCAAGGTCAGTGGCACCGACTGATAAAGGGCCCTGGAAGAAAGCACTCTGCCTTCTGGACTCTGCAGACTAAACTCAACTGGAATATGATGGCCCACTCCGGAGCACTCCCAGCACTCCGGAGGCAGAGGCATGTCGATCTCTGTGGGATCCTGGCCAGCCTGGTCTACATAGCTTGTTCCAGGCGGGCTGGGACTACCGAGAGCCTTTGAAAAAAAGCTCAACTGGAGAACATAACTGTGATCAAGTATCTCCCATAGGAAGATTCGTCTTTACTGAGGACATACCTCGTGCCCCATCCATCCCCCTCCTCTACCCCTTTTCTCACCAGACACAATTTCGAATCAAACTTTTATTAATTAAATTAAAAAAAAAAGAAAGATTCCAAGAGGGGGGTGATTCCTTCCCTTTCACAATGTTACCCTCTGCCCAAGCAGAGGGGCATGAGAGGACGGGGACAGAAAAGGAGGATCCAAAGTCTCAGGAAAGGCAAAGGCACAAAGCGGCTTTAAAAGTCACTGGAGGTGGAGTGGAAACTCCCAGATTTGGGGGCCTGTGGCTGCACCCCCAAATTAATTTAGGGACCTCTGTCCTAAAAATTCTTGCTTATAGGCTTTTAGGCACCAGACCTAGCAAAGTGCCTTGCAGAGTAGGCATTCAATAAATATTTGATTTACTGGAATTTGATCCCAGAGGAGGCCTTCCCCACCTCTTCTTCAGGAGGGGCACCTCCAAACCAAAGTCCTCCTGTTAGGTGGGCTTCCCTCAAAGAACATGTTTAAGATGGCAGCTGCAAGCTCTCCATAACCATGACAACAGAGGATTAGCCTGATGAAGTCATAGGGTCTGAGGGGATGGGCAGTGGAAGAACCTGCTCAGAGGTCAAGAGAGTTGGGGTAGATTCCAGTCCTTTCCCCCTCCTTAGGACTTGAGGCTTCACAGCTTCTGGCTGGGGCTTGGGATTATAGGGATCTCCTAACTGAGATACCCCCTCAACTCTTTAAAAGAGGTCTAACTAACCAACCCAGTTTTTAAAACCATTGACAAAGAAACCTCACTGAGACTTTGATAATAGAAACAAGATCTCCACTATCACTTTGTCTGTACAGATATGCATTTGGCTAGAATTTCCATAGCAAAAATGGATCCCCTTCCCTCCCCAGCTCACTCTACCTGACCCGTCATCATAACTTAGATAAATAGAATTATTATTATTATTATTATTATTATTCTTTACTCCTGGTGCATAAGGGTTAAATACACAGGCCTGGGGTCCCCTTATCTGTGGGATCAGATCCCCATTGGTCTGCCCCCGTCTTGGTACTCTGCTCGCAGCCGGGTCACTAACCCCAGTCTCCCTAACTCTGGTTCCTAATTAAAAAGACCACCAGGGGGCAATAAATTATCATCATCATTATGTTTGTAAAAAGAAAAATGTTGATGAGGATGGAAGCGGTGGAATAAGAAGTTAGGAAGACAGCCCGGAAGCTGAGGGGAAGTGGTGAGTAAGCTTGGGAAGTAGAAAGGATGTATGTCAGAGTTGAGGAGGAGAAAATGATGGGAGCCCAAAAGAAAGGAAAGTGAGTTGAGAGAAGCTGTGAGCAGGGGCCAGGGAAGGAAGAGCTCGGGAAAACGGAGCATAGGATCTAGGCACAGATGATGAGAGCCTGAGATGAGTTTGGCTAAGACCCACGGCAAAAGGAAGGAAGCTGAGGAGGCATGCAAGGAGATTGTCAGGCAGCAAGGTAGAGAGAGCCCCAAAGGATAGCATGCTTAGGAGAGTGAGGGGCAAGCGGTGGTCCACGGCACCAAGAGAGGCTGGCAAGAGGGCCTTGGGGCTGGAGACCTTCCTCCACCTAGCTCATATCTCCAGCAAGTTGCTGTGCTCCGGGCTGCCTCCAGGGGCTTTCTCGGGGGGTGCAGGCGAGGTGGATGGTCGTGGGGGCTGACTGGCTTCCTCTTCCCCGACGCTGCGGCCCTCCCCCAGCTCCTTAGGGCCACTGGGCGGTGGCCCCGGGCCTGGCTCGCCGTGGGTGCGCTGGTGCTTGCTCAAGTGGTCGCTTCTGGTAAAGCGCTTGGAGCACAGCAGGCAGGTGAACTTCTTCTCCCGGGTATGAGTGCGCACATGGCGCTCCAGCTCATCCGACCGGGTGAACCTCTTGCCGCAGAAGAGCCAGTTGCAGACGAAAGGCCTCTCCCCAGTGTGCCAGCGCAAGTGGGCCTTCAGATGTGACGCCTTGCCGTACACCTTGCCGCAGCCAGGGATGTGGCAGCTGTGAATAGGCTTCTTCCGCAGCCCAGCCGCTGCTGCCCCCAGCCGCTCTAGCTCTTGGCAATTGGGGCAGTCGCAGGACGAGCGCCCTGCCCCACTGCCCCCATATCCGCTACTGCCCCCTGTGCCTGCACCCCTGGGGTTTTTGGCTCCACCACTCCCCTCCAGCTGCCCACTGTTACCAACTGCCTTGGGCTTATAAACATCTTGGGGCAGGACGTGCTGGGGCCCTGGTTGTAGGAGGTGGGGCGCGGGGTAGGAGGCTGGATTGAGGGGGGCAAAGTCAGATGGGTAAGTAGGTAGTTGGGGGTTCAGGGGAGGCTGAGCAGGACCTGTGGGCAGTGTCCCTTGCAGACCATCACCCTGGCCCTGCCCACCACCTAGCCAGTTGCCCCCAGGGTGCATGTCCCACCAAGGAGTAGGTGTGTTGCCAGGGCCTGGTGAGATGCCTGCATGGATGCCCGCCTTGTACCAGGAGCTGTAGGGATGTGCCATGTCCAGAGAGGTGTAGACACTAGGCAGGCAGTCAGAAGAGCTGTGCCCTTTTGGCACTAGTAGCCCAGGGTCCTGGGTGCCTGTGGACCCTGGGAATGAGTGGGAAAAGGGTGGGTAGTCATTGGCATAGCCAGAGGTTGGCGCTGGAGGACTGCCTGCTGGTGAGAGGAGCCCATTGGTGCTTGAAAAGGGAGCTGGGTAGGCATCCCCCATGGTTTTGGGGGCTGGAAGATCAGAGGAGTATGGCTTCTTTGTGCCTCCTTTTCCCAGTGTCGATGAGTGAGGACTGGAGCCACCAAATTTGCTGCAGGCTGCTGTCAGCATGGCCAGGGGACTAGAGCCATAGTGAGCTTCCTCCTGTGGAGAGAGGGGAGCATTGCTTAGGGGGAAAGAGGAGAGGATAGAATGAAAAGCATAACTCCAGGACTAAGACCTAGAAACATGGAGAACAGACCCCAGAGGTCAGGAACGGGTTGAAGAGGATGGAAAACTAGAGGGAAGAGAGGTATACCAGGGCCTGGTGTCGGGGCAGAACTAAGTTGTGAGAAGAGAGGCCCAAGCCTGATACTCCAGCCCAGTGGACAGGAAGCAAAGCCTTCGATGGAGTCAACAGGGGATGTGCAAAGTCTCTGAACAAGAGCTGAGATAGAAGCAGCAGCCGACTGAGGTAAGAATTAAGGTCCTGACCCAGAAAAGTGGATTGAAGCAGACAAATGCCAAGCCATGGTCAGAAACTCAGAGAAAAAAGATGCCACTCAAAGAGCAGCATGGATGGGGTGTAGTGGCACATACCTGTAATCCCAGCACTCAGGAGGTAAAGGCAAGAGGATCAGAGGTTTAGGCCATCCTCAGCTACATGGCAATTCCAGGCCAGCCTGGGCTACACAGTAAGAGCCTGTCTCCAAAACAAAACAAAAACCAGAGGATCATGGGGCCAGCAGCTATGGAGAGTCTATAACCCTAGCTAGCCAGGAAGCTGAGACAGGAGGATCATTTGAGTCCAGGAGTTTGAGACCAATCAAAGAAACATAACAAGAACTGTACCCCCTCTCCAAGAAGGTGCAGCATGGGGTCATGGAGAGAAGGTGCAGAATTAAGGGACCATATCTACCTCTATTCTACATTTTCCTGGCTTCACTCCATACTCCATTTCCTGTCTTTGCTTCAACTCCTAACTAAAGCAGTGGCCTGATCTCCCTGAGGTCAAGTCCACATGTCCCTGGTAAGGAATCTCTTGGCAAGGACTCTGGGGCTGGGAAGCAAGAGGAAGCGACGGCAGAGACACTGGGACATTGAGCGGGAACAAGGCTGCAGCCAAACCAAGACTGTGGTAAGGCAAGAATGTCTTTCAAGCAGGCAGTGGGCACCTCCTGCTTTGTGGTGCTAACTCCTTTTGGGCCATGGAAGAGTCCAAAGTCCTTGAAGACCCTCCAAGACAGGCAACTGGCTAAGATACTGGATTACAGCTTTCCCCTCTATTCAAATGCAGTGAATGAAGGAAGACGTGAATGTGGGATATAGGGGTCTTTTTAGAAACACAGAGGTATCTCCTTAATGGCCATCACTCCTCAGGAGCTCATAGTACCCTTCCCTAGGTCAGATTCAGAACTTCTTAGGAAGAGGCACACTCTAGCAATCTTGGCTACTATGTACAAGGTCCTGGGTTCAATCACTGTACCACCAGTGTACCACATGGTTTCCTTCAAAAGCTGGCCATGTGGGGCCAGCAAGATGGTTCAGTAGGGAAAGGCATTTGCCACCAAACCTGATGATCTATGCTCAATTCCCAGATCCTACATGGTAGAAGGAGAGAACTCCCACAAGTTGTCCTCTGACCTCCACAAATGCGCTGTGAAACAGGAACACTCATACCACACAGACACGCACAGGAATGAATAAATAAAGTTAAAAACTTTTTTGGTCTTTTTAAAAATGTTTTGAGACAGGGTCTCCTGTAGCCCCAGATGGCCTGTGTAAACCAGGCTGGCCTTGAACTCACAGAGATCCACCTGCCTCTGCCTCTGGAGTGCTGAGACCAAAGGCCTGCACCACCACACCCAGTATAAATGTAACAAAGTTAAAAACAAAAAAACCTCTAGCCATGCTGTCTTTAAAGATAACCACCAGAATCCAGGTGTGATAGTGCACACCTGTAATCCCAGTAGGAGTTTGAAGTAGGAGGCTCTCAAATTCTAGGCCAGTCTGGGCTACAGAGCAAGACCCTGGTTCAAAAAATTAACAAGTCAATTGCCTGGTATCTTCCTGGTCAAACTCAGAAAACACAAGAATCCAGGGTTCTCAGACCTGCCTAGTGTCTCCTAGTGTGGTGTGTGTATATTAGAGAGATGTGATGCCAAATCCTCTAGATGAGCCTGGGTTCTCAAGGTTTATACAATCAGCACTCCTGAGCTGCACCCCACTCCCCACCCTGTTCAATTATATCTCTCTCTAAGATCCTATTGACCCTTGGGCTCCCAAATATGAGCCACTGAAAGCTTTTGCAACAGGAAACCCCTGAGTTTTCCTGGTCAGGGTTTCCCTGGAGGCGCTAATGGCCCAAGCAGAGGATTGGCAGGGCAGAGGATTGATGGAGCAGGAGTCAAAACCTAGCATGAAGCCAGGTGTGGTGGCACATACCTTTAGTCCCAGCACTTAGGAGGCAGAGGCAGGCGGATCTCTGCGAGTTCAAGGCCAGCCTGGTCTACATAGTGAATTCAGGTCAGCTGGGAATATAGGGAGACCCTGTCTCAAAAAGATTTAAAAAAAATAAATAAAAACCTAGCATGAAGGAGTGGTCCCAATATGACATTCAAAGACACATAGAGACCCAGAAACATGGGGTTCAAAGGACCCTGTGCCTAAGGAACTGCTACCCAAAGCCCCATAGGGTCAAGGAAAGGGGAACCATAAAGGTGGAAGCTGTCATTAAGAGGCATAAATGAGCAGAAAGGTAAGAAGACAAGAAGGAGGGAGTGCAAGGAAGGCAGAATAAACAAAGGAGAGGTGGTAAGGGATCCTGGGCCAGGAAAGCTAAGGAAAACAGAGGAAAAGACAGGAGGAGAAATGGGGGAGGAAGAGGGAGACGGCAGACTTTCCACCTAAGAGAAACACACTATGGTGATGGGCTCCAGAAAACCCCCAGACCAGGCCACTCCTCCCTCCTTCTCCCCCCTGCTGCCCCCTCCCCCTCTGCCCAGCGCGGCCCTGCTAGGCTCCAATGGTTTCCCTGCGGTCGGTTTATTTTTAAAAACGCCGACGCGGTCCCCGGCCTGCCCGGCCCTCACACTGTGGCCACAGGGGCCTCAGCCAAGCCCAGGGACCCCACCCAGTTGTGGGGAGGCAGGGAGGGGTGAAAGAAGTCAGCCAGCCCAGGCTGACAGGAGACCCTGACCCTGAGGAGCAAGGCCCACAGGGCCCCTGAGGATAGGGAAGAAGCAGCAAGGCACAGAACTGTTCCAGGGCTAAGTACTGGAGGCTGTTTCCCCACAGCCTCAGTTTCTTTCTCTGGCTGATTACTGTCTCTGAGAGCTGGGGGGAAGGGGTCTTGTTTTAGGGTTTTGAGCATGTGCTCCTATAGCCAATCAAATGTGTTACTTTTCAGTACCCAGGATGCCCCCCTTCCAGTTTCTGCCCCTCACCCCCGTCCCACCATCCTTTAAAATAAAAGAGAATCTTTGCAGAAAGATCAAGATAGGCACAGTCTCAGCTCTCACCCTGATGTGGATTGGAGCGAGGAGATCCCCTCTTTCTAGGGAACTCAGACTCTTGCCTCACCTGTCCCAATGGAAATGGCCACTGCACATCCTGACAAGTGGACGGGCCTTCTAGGTTCTGAGAACACAGTCTGCTTCCAGTTCTCAGCTTTCTCTCTAGTTTCTCAGTCCTCCCAGCTTCAAGTTTTCACATTTTTCTTTTCTTTTACTATGATTATTTTATTTTTATTTTTCAGCATGCTAGGAATGGAAATCAGTGCCTCACTCATGCTAAGCAAGCACTGGACCACTGAGCTACATTTATCTCTAACCTTGCCTTCCAAATTCTCTATTCCCACCTAGTGTTCCCACCCCTGCCCCCATCTTTCCCTCTTTCTTGTTCCCCTCTCAGTCCAGGTGAGTGTCTCACCACCAGCAGCTGTTTCCTCTTTCTGAGTCCCAAATTTTTCCCATTTCCAGAGAACCTACCTATATCAAGTAGAGGGATTCCCAGGGAGTCAGGGAGGAGGTGGAGAGCCAGGTACCTAAGAACTAGGTGAAAGAAATGAAAAGCAGCCAGTGTCTTTGTGTTAGGTCATCTCCTGCCCACAGGAGGAAGGGGACCCAAAAGCCTAGCTTCCATGACAACACTCTGATTGCCAAATGCTTCCCCAACCCTGTCTTTTCAGAAGGTCTCTGAACTGCCCCTCCCCCAGGCACCAGTGCCACGCTGGCAAGGCTGGCATGATGCCCATACCCATTGACATTGCCCCTGCCCTGGGTGGACCCAGGACTTATATACACCTTTCTCCTCAAGCTTCCTCAAGTCTATTGTTTCAATGATAGCTCAATATAGTGTCTACTGAGTAAAATAATAATAATAAAATTAAATGTTCCACTAAAAGCACTTGCTATGAAAGCCTGATGACCTGGATTTAATCCCTAGAATTGATGGTTGAAGTTAAGAACTGATTCACAAAAGTTGTCCTCTGACCTACACACACACACACACACACACACACACACACACACACACACATACAATAATAAATAAATAAATGTCAAGTCTGTTGGGGACGGGCGTGATGACAATCTGCACACAATGAGAGTACATCTCTGTACCTGGGGATTCCTGTCTGCTTACAGTGTATGACAAGAAGCTGTCTACCCCATTGGCTTGTATGCCATCCATTACTTCAAACTCAGTCACAAAGTCAATATCTCTCAGCCATTCCTCATTTAAACTGTTCTCAGATGACCCCCCGCCCCACATATACACACCTGTACTCACAAAGTCAGCAGCATGTAAGTAAGCATCTAGCACTTATACACAGGCTGGTAGACACACAAACATCAAAGGCCTCTTGTTTTGTCACAGGCGCGCATGCGCGCGTGCACACACACACACACACACACACACACACACACACCACATACAAGTTGAGCTAATCTAGCACTTATACACAGGCTGGTAGACACACAAACATCAAAGGCCTCTTGTTTTGTCACAGGCGCGCATGCGCGCGTGCACACACACACACACACACACACACACACACACACCTCATACAAGTTGAGCTAGCTAGCTTTCTAATTGGTCAACCAGCAGGGACTCATTACTCCCGGGAACTGAGTTGGGGCACCCAGAGCATAGTTGGCTTCTAAAGGCCCCAAGAATAGGACCAACTTGAAGATACAGAAGGCCACTGACATGGGCTCTCTGGGACCCTGAAAGCAATAAAGAGATTGGTGACACAGAGACCCAGAAACAAGAATTTGGGTTCTAAGTAGCCATGAGTCCTTCCTTTCCAGCTCTGTGCCTTGGGTTCCGCAGAAGTCCTGAGAAAATAGTCAGTGACTACTCAAGATCCCAATTTCATATGGTACCCTACTTCCCTCCATCTCTAGAACCGGAGGCAAGGGATGCTGGGGTCTCAGCCTGGAGGGGAAGTGGCCCAGTCTGCCCTGGAGCCTCCCACTCCCAAAATAGAGCTGAGTTTGTCTTTGGCTGAAAGCTAAATATTTGTGAGCCGGGCAAGCGGCCTCAGACCCTGTCCCTCCTCCTTGGTTCCCTCTCAGGCCTGGGCTCAGTTCCCCTGGCCAGCCCCCCACATACAGGGCTGCCCTCCTTCTCTCCCTCACAACCTACCTCCTCTCCCACACACTGGCTCACAGGCTAGGCTCCCTCCCCCACCCAGACCTGACCAGATCTTGCTTGATCTAGGAGCCCTAGACATGGGATCCCCCCTTCCAAAGAATAAGGCAGAGGGCTGCTCCATGCCTGTTCGGTCAGTCCTCCACCTTCCGTGTCTCATCCTCTACTGTCAGTCTACCTGCTTCTCACCCCTTCTCCCACTGCCCTTCTCTTCTCTCTCCTTTTGCCATTGCTTTTTCCTTCCTCAATTAATGGCTTAGCTGACCACAGGGGTCCTAGCTTTCTTTTGACCTAATCCTCTCTCCTCCTCCTCTGACTGCCCTCTGACCCCTAGCTCTGTTCTCTCCTCCCTTTTCTCTTGGCCTCTGCTTGCTTCTCCTAGGACCCTCCTCCTCCTCCTCCTCCTCCTCCTCAGGATCCTGGAAGTGACAAGCACCATAGCCACTGTCTCTGAGAGTTGAGGGGGTGGGGGTGGGCAGGTATGAGGACCAGGAAGATTGTAGCTAGTTTCCTGGGAAGCAGAGGGGAACAGTTACCTCAAGCAGGGAGGACGCCATCCTGAGGCTGGGGACCGGGTCCCAAGGAGTGAGGCAGATGGAGAGAGCCGAGGAGCCAGAGAGAGAAGGAGAGGGAGGGAGAATGGGAGAATGGGAGAGAAGAGATCTAAAGTTAGAAGGGACTGGGGGGGGGGGCTGCTCTCTGTCTGTAGGGATCCACCCTCTAATTACAGCTTTCCCAGCGGAGAAGGCTCCGGATCCAATGAGGAGGGCGAGAGAGGGAGGCAGAGGGTCCAAATTTCCTGCTCCATTTGGTGAGCTCCCCAAAGAAGGGATCTGAGAAGGAGAGGAGAAAAGGGGGTGCCCAGGGAAGGGGTGGGAAGCAGGAACATGGGCAAGTTGTCAGGGCTTCCTTGGGGAGTGCTTTGGGGAGAGAAGGAAAGGGTTGGTTGACCCAGGTGCCCTGGGCTCCCCAGCAATCCCATAGGCATCTGTGGGCAGTCCTCCCAGAGCTGCCCAGCATCTGTACCTGGGGAGCCTGGGGATGGCTGTCCTGTCTCCTCTCAGGAGGTCTGGCAGGAAGATTGCTGGCAGTGTGTGGCCTGAGGGTGCTGGGAGGGATCCGCTCCTCTCCCAGGCCAGCTCCACTCCTGTTCCCACTCGGCTCCAATCCTACAATTCTACTCTGACTCCTTGCTGCTGCTCGGTGGCGCGCTGGCTTCTGCTGCTGCTGCTACTGCTGCTGAGGCTGCCGCCGAGCTGCTGAGGGAAGGAACAGGAGGGAAAAGGAACAAACCCCAAACCACTAATTAGAGATCCAGGGGGGGGATGGGGGATCGGGGACGACACTCACACAGAGAGACTGGAACACACTGACATACACACTCATGGACAAACACGAGGATGATGCATGCACACGTACACACACAGAGCTGCCCACACTGGGACTGCCACTGTCATGAATGAACACAGACAAACTCACATACAATGAACATGGTAATGCACTGGAGAAACCCACACAACCACCCCCCAAGCTGGTTATGGAAAGACTTGTTTGCCCATTTAGCCACCACTAGATCAGGAGAGCCCTGTGTATGTGTGCACATGCATGTGTTTGATGGAGTAGAAGGGATGATTAGCTCAATATGGTTGCTTCTAGTGCCCAAACTTCCACAGTCACTGAAGTAGGTTCCAGAGCCAGGCCTGGAGTAAGTGATGCAGAGTGGGAAGAGCTTGGCACAGCTTGCGGATGAGGGTATCCTCAGTTTCACCATTAGGAAAAGAGAGCTAGACCCACCTCAGTCTGTAAGGCAGAACCTGGAATCTGAGAAGATTTAAGGCAGGCAGGAGTGAGGATCAGAGCAAAAGGTCATTGGGTCAACCCATCCATGCCCACACTTTGTCTCAGGAATGACCCCTCTCCCCACAAAAAAGACCAAGAAATACCCTAGCCTCCATCATTCCTTATGGTTTAGCAGTTGTTGATCCCAAGACCCTCTTGGCCAGGGATTTAATGTTCATACTTTGATAGGTAGCTCCTCTCATAAGTGATTTTTCTTCCCTGGGTGGAAACGCCTGGCTCCCTTCTCTATGGCCAAACAACAATTCCCTTTGCCTGTTACAGAAAGAACTTCTGATAGAGCTTAATCTGTGCTTCCAACTCCTACATTCCATCAAAATGGGAAAGAGAAGGAAGGTCAACCAAGATGGGAGAAGGGAATCCAAGATGCCTATTAACTGATCCCTGGGCCCTAGAGTAAGTTTATGGGAGAACTGGGTAGCCAAGTGCAGAAAATAGCATCTGTCCCACAGAGGGACCTGGCTGGGGAGGGAAGTGGCAAGTTATCTCCACCCTCATCCCTCTGTCCTCTCCCAGCCTTGCCTGATCTTCCTCTCTTTACTCTCCAGCAGCCCTCATTTTCTCTTCCTCACTCCTTTTACCCTCCCAACACTTCAAAGAAAATGCTGGGAGGTAGATGGCAGAGGAAGGTTCAGGAACAGTAGTTTAAGCAACAAGCATGAGCAAAATTCAGGTAGGACCCCAGAGTCCTAGATTCCTAGCCCCCAAATTTGATTGCCCCCAGGAGGACGTAGCTCAGTAGTAGTAGTAGTAGAATGCATGCTAAGAGTTAGAGGCATGAGGCCCTGGGTCTAATCTTCAGCCTCTCTTTCTCCTCTCTCCTCACTCACTGATATCCCCAAGGAACCTGGTAAGCCCAACTTTAAGGGAAGAATTAGAAACCAGGTGGCTGTCAGACAAAGCAATGAAGCAAAGAGAAAGACCAAGACCAAGAGGATACACAGAGCAAGGAAACAGTCCAAGAGAACTAGAGGCATCAGAGGCCGTAAGAGAGGGGAAAGGAAACCAGAAGACTGACCAGATACCTGGCCCTGGTAAAAAAAGTAGTACAGAAAACAAACCAAACCACCCAAACAAACAAAAAACTCCAAAAGAAAAGAAACAAACTCAGAGGAACAAAGATACAGGACACAAGGAACAAGGAAAATAGCCAGGGGCATAGCCAGGTCCAGGAGGTGGAGGGTAAAGCTGCCAGCAGGTGGGGGGTGGGGATGGAATATAAATAGAGCATAATTGTGTCCGATGATTACACGGGCCACCCCACCCGTCTGCCCAAGAGGAAGTGCCCGTGGTGGGGTGTTCCTATGACCTCCCAGTCTCCCCCTGGTGTGGAGGGCGGGAGTGTGAGCCTGAGGTGTCAGCTGAATTTCTAAGACCTTAACTCAGAATCTGGGAAGAATGGGAAGCTTTTGAGAAATTACTGTATTGCTAGCAGAGCAGCTGTTATATCAATCAGGAAACTGAGGCAGGGCAAATCTAGACTCCAGGAACAGACAGAAGTTGCAGCTCAAACCTGATTGGACAAGAAAGAGACTGAAGGGGCAAAAAAGAATGAAAAGATGAAAGGAGGGATGGAACAAGGGGGCGGGGATAGGGGAGGGGTCAACATTTCCCCTTCCCTGGGGAGCTCTCATAGGAATCCTACCTAGAAATGGACAGAAATATTCAGATCCAAGGAATGCTGGAAAAGGAAACAGGAGGAGCAGGGGTCCTAGGAAAATGTGAGCCAGGGCCCCTAATGTGTGAATCCTGGTGGGCAGCCCATACACATCAGAAAGCCTCCTAGACAAGGGTCTGTGCCTGCCAGGCAGACAGCTGCCACCTTCACCCGTTGCCCTCAGGCCCTGACTTCTCTCAAACCTTTGCTAAAGACAGCCTTGCAAGCCAGCTGTGGAGCTTGTATTTCTGGGTCCTGCTCCTCACCTGTCTTCCCAGTGCCCTCAGAGGCTGGGGGCAGCAACTGGAATCCCTTACCAAAGACCTACCTCAGCCCTCACAGGCCTCCCCTCAGCCCAGCCTCCCAGGGGGTGGGGCAGCCCAGGCAGAGGCGCCATGTGGCAGGGGCGGGTAGAGGCTGCGGCTCTGGTCCTTCCAGTATAAACCCCCTAGGCATCTGGTTTCTATCCACCACCCCCCACCACCCTGGGGGCCCCTCAGCCTCCGCCCATGGCCACCCAGACGCAGTGCTCTGAGATGGACGTCCCATGAAGGGGTGGGATGGTGCCTTTCTGATCTCCCAATGCCAGCACTGGGCTGAACCGCAGGGACCACTCCCTTCCCTCCTTCCCCTGAGAGAGTTAGGGTGGGTTTCCTAGACTAGAGAGGTTGAATCTGGAACCTGCCTCAAGTTCTTTCATGATTTTGGATTTTTTTGGAAAGGTGGGGGAGAGTGAAACTTGGAGAGAGTAGGAGGTTGAGAGAAATTACCTTCTTCCATAACCATTGCCCTCTGCCCAGCTGTTTAAGGTGCACTCCCTCTGAGATCCCTAATCTAAGGGGACTCATAGTTCTTCCCATGGAGCAGTCTTAGAGATTTGGCTACCTAGAGAGAATCACAAGAGAAGGACAAATAAAATCTGTGAAACAAAAATTGATATATACTCTAATAGACACCATGAGTGACACACAGATACACATACTTGCACCTTTCTGGAGAACACATAACTCATTCATATATATAGACATCCACACTAACACACACTGTATGTATGTGTGCTATACACATACTGCTTACCTCAAGATTCTGTCACCCCCATTCATAACACAAATATGCACCAGTATACATACATCCATACAGAGTCAGTCACTTAGACACCTCTCTCCACATAGACTCCCATCAATACTTGTCTCTACACATGCAAATGTCTTATACACACAAGCTTGGTATCACAATTTTGTAATTCTGGATATATTTGAGGTCTTCTAGAGTACATTGAAGAAGTCCTCTCCCTATAAAAACCTAGGGGTAGCTGGGGGTGGTGGCTCACGCCTTTAATCCCAGCACTCCGGAGCCAGAGGCAGGCAGATCTCTGTGAGTTCAAGGCCAGCCTGGTTTACATACTACATAGTGAGTTGCAGGGCAGCTGGGACTACAAGGGAGACCCTGCCTCAAAAAGACCAAAAAAAAAAAAAAAAAGAACCTGGAGGTGAGGCTGGGGGTAGGCAGTGGCACACAGCTTTAATCCCAGTACTCAGGAGACAGGAAGCAGGTAGAGATCTCTGTGAGTTCAAAGCCAGCCTGGTCTACATAGTGAGTTCCAGGCCTGCCCAACTATATAATGAGACCCTGTCTCAAAAATTAAATAAATGAATAATGTAAAAAAGAATCTGGGGATGAAGCCAAGCTTGGTGGTACACATGTGTAAGTCTAGCCCTTGGGAGGTAGAGGCAGGAGAATCAGGAGTTTAAGGTCATCCCAGCTATATAATGAGTTCAAAGTCAGCCTGGGTTACCTGAGAACCAGTCTCAAAAAGCAAGCAAACAAAAAAATATGAGGACTTGGGCTGAAGTTCATTAGTTAAAAGCATTGGCTGCTCTTCCAGAGGACCAGGGTTTGGTTCCCTGCACCCACATGGTAGCTAACAACCATCCTTAACTCTAGTTTCAGGAGATCCAACACCCTCTTCTGGCCTCTTTGAGTACACATAGGTGTACTTATAGTCATGTAGGCAAAACACTCATACACTTAAATTTTTTTTTTAAATCTGAGGCTAGGCATTTTATGGGGTCTACTGCCAGTCTTACATATGGCCCCCTGTACCCCCTAACTAGAATAGGTACCACCAGGTATCTTTGTGTGCCTTTGATCCTTCACTCCCCACACCCGTGGGAGCTCAGAGACCCAGATGGCCTTTAAGGACTCCCTGGCCCTGGGGAGGCCCTGGCATTCCCCACCCCCACCCAGCTGCCCCCCTGCTCTGCAGCCCTGCTGACTCATCTCTCCCTCTGTGGAGCTCCCCAACCACAGGGGCCTGGAAGAGAAACTTGGAAAGTTGCACTCATGTCCCAGGCCCCTAGTCTGGCCACTACCCCCACCCCCAAGCACCCAGGCTCAGCCCTCCTCTCTAGTGATGATCACTCCAGTGACAGAGAATATAGAAAGAATGGGAAAGAGGAGGCGCCCAGAGATAGGAAACAAAGTAAGACAAAAGAACCAGGCACAAGAGTGCAAGACTATCATCCTAGTTACTAGGAGGCTGAGATAGGAGGATTGTGAGTTCAAGACCAGCCTGGTAATATTGTGAAACCACATCACATCTCAAAAAGAAAAGACACCAGCCAGTTTTGCTGGGACACACCTATAACCCTAGCACTCACAGAGGCAAGAGGATTGCCACGAGTTTAAGACCAGCCTAAGGTTTATACTGAGTTCTAGGCCAGTTTGAGTTAGCATGATAGCTATCCTAAAAAAACAAAAAACAGAGCCAGATGTGGTGGCACATGCCTGTAATCCCAGCACTTGGGAAGCAGAGATAGGCATATCTCTGTGAGTTCAAGGCCAGCCTGGTCTACGTAGTGAGTTCCAGGCCAGCTGGGGCTACAGGGAGACCCTATCTCAAAAAGACCAAAAAAAAAAAAAAAAAAATAGACAAAGAAAGGGACTGGAGAGATGGCTTGGCAGTTAAGAACACTGGCTGATCTTGCAGAGGACCCAGGTTCAAATCCCAACACCCACATGGCAGCTAACAACTGTCTGTAACTACAGTTTCAGGGGCTCCAATGGCCTCTTCTGTCCTCCGTAGGCATTGCATGACACGAGTGCACTTACATACAGGCAATGCACACATACACATAAAAAAACAAAAAATAAGCCAGGTGTGGTGGTTGCATGCTTTAATCCCAGCACTCAGGAGGCAGAGGATCTCTGTGAGTTCAAGGCCAGCCTGGTCTACATGGTGAGTTCCAGGACAGCTGGGGCTGCAGGGAGACCCTGTCTCAAAAAGACCAAAATAAATAAATAAATAAAAAGAAATAAAAAAACGACAGAGAAACAAAACAAAACAAAAAAAAACAGATATGAAAGAGACACAGACAAGAGTCTTGTGGGACAGCTGCTAATCTGACAGGATCCTCAAAAAGCAATGGGCTGGTGAGCAGGGAAATTTGTTCCTTGTTAAGGGAAGGTATACTCATGGCCTTGGGATTTGGACACTGCCTACTGCCCCAGTCGCTGATCAGAGGTCTAGGAGTCTGGGCTCTAAGAGGCAAAGTTGATGACAGATAAGAAAAGACTGACAGCCTTCATCCAGGACAGCTTAGAAAAGGAGCTTCCCACCCCAACAAGTACTTATACATATATTAGCTCTTCCCACCCTCTTTCACCAGAACAGCTGTAAGGCAGGACTCAGTTCTAGTCCTGGCTTCCCTCTTCAATAAGCCTCAGTTTCCTTGGCTGATATTTGAACTCTGGAATAATACAAACAGTTTCAGGGGAGACAGGTCAGAATCAGAAAGAAAAAGATACATTATCAGGAGAGGAGAAAGGAGGAGCAAGGACGGCAGGGGACAGAGAGAGCTATGGGAGGAGACAGGAAAATAAAGGTGTAACCTTGGAACAAGAGGACCTGGCCAGGTTTGGTATCTATTTTATAAAAGCCAACATTGAACTAAGCTCCTGGTGGTCTCTGAGAAATTCCCTTTTGCTAAAATATACCCTGGAGGGGCTAAAGAGGAGGGTCAGTGGTTAGGAGCCCTGACTGTTCTCTCATAGAGTACCCAGGTATGGTTTCTAGCATCCACATGACACCTAACAACCGTCTGTAACTTCGGTTCCAGGGGATCTGATGCCCACTTCTGACTCCATGGGAATTACACACTTGTGGAACAATTATATATGCAGGCAAAACCCTCATAGTCGGGTGTGGTGGTACAAACCTTTAATCCTAGCACTTGGGAGGCAGAGGCAGGTAGATCTCTGTGAGATGGAAGCAAGCCTAGTCTACATATTGTAGTTACAGGGACCTGTCTCAAAAGAAAAAAAGAAAACCCTAGAGTGTCACTTCGGCAGTACATACACTAAAAGTTGGAGTGGTATGGGAAAGGTTCGCATGGTCCCTGCACAAGAATGACACAAACATTCATGAAGCATTCCATAATTTTATTTTTAGGGAAAAATATGCCCTAGAATCTGATACATGAAATATATAAGCATCTTTATTTTTTTAATATTTTATTATTTTTACTTTATGTGTATAAGTGTATTGCCTGCATGTATGTGAGTGCACCCACGTCCTACGATGCCTCAGAGGTCAGAAGAGGGCTTTGGATTCCACTGGAACTGGAGTTAAGGACAGTTCATAGCTGCCATGTGGATGCTGGGAATTGAAACCCGGTCCTCTGCAAGAGCAGTCAGTGCTCTTAACTGCTGAGCCATCTCTCCAGCCCCAGCATCTTTATTTTTATTATGTTTGTTTGTTTTGAAACAGAACCTTAATATGTAGCCCTAGCTGGCCTGGAGCTTGCTATGTAGATTAGGCTGGCCTCAAACTCATAGAGATCCTCCTGCCTCTGCCTTCCTAGTGCTGGGATTAAAGGGGTGTGCCACCACCCCTGGTCATAAATTAGCATCCTTAAATAAATGAAATTTGGAGTGGTAGAGATCTGACCACATCTTCTATCCCTAGGAATAGGCTGAACAACCCAAAGAAATGGTTCTTCATAAATCCTGAATATAGGCCGGGAGCGGGCCAGGAGGTGGTGGCTAGGCCCAATGGTTGCAGGCTCCTCAGGAGAGGGTGGAGAAGAGGTAGGCAGGCAAGCGGTTGGTCAAGTCGGTTGGTCAAGTCCCCATTCCTTGCCGGGCCCTGCTGGGCGTGGGTCCCGCGTTCTGGAGCCATGCAGGCGCTAATCCCCGGTCATCAACAAGCTGCAGGACGACTTCAACACAGTGGGCTGCCTCAGATCGTCGTCGTGATGGGAACGCAGAGCAGTGGAAAGAGTTCAGGTCTAGAAAGCCCAGTGGGAAGGGATCTGCTTCCCAGAGGGACTGGCATTGTCACACTGAGACCCCTCATTCTGCAGCTGGTCCACGTTTCAGCAGATGAAAAACGCAAAACAGCAGAAGGAAATGGAGTAGGAGCAGAAGAATGGGGTAAATTTCTTCACACCAAAAATAAGCTTTACCCGGATTGTGATGAATTTTGACAAGAAATTGAAAATGAAACAGAAAGAATTTCAGGAAATAATAAGGCAGTAAGTTCTGAACCAATTCATCTTAAGATTTTTTCACCCAGCGTTGTTAATTTGACACGTGGATTTGCCAGGAATGACCAAGGTGCCTGTAGGTGATCAGCCTAAAGATATTGAGCTTCAAATCAGAGAGCACATTCTTCAGTTCATCAGTAATCCCAATTCCATTATCCTTGCTGTCACTGCTCCAGATACAGATATGGCAACGTCAGAGGCGCTGAAAATTTCCAGAGAGGTAGATCCTGATGGTCGCAGAACTCTAGCTGTCATTACCAAACTTGATCTCACGGATGCGGGTACTGACGCCATGGATGTACTGACGGGAAGGGTTATTCCTGTCAAGCTTGGGATAATTGGAGTAAACAGGAGCCAGCTAGATATCAACAATAAGAAGAGTGTAACTGATTCAATCCTGGATGAATATGCTTTTCTTCAAAGGAAATACCCACTCTGGCCAACAGAAATGGAATGAAATATCTTGCTCAGACTCTGAATAGGTTACTTATGCATCACATCAGAGATTGTTTACCTGAACTGAAGACAAGGATCAATGTTCTAGCTGCTCAGTATCAGTCCCTCCTGAATAGCTATGGTGAACCCGTGGACGATAAAAGTGCTACTTTACTCCAGCTCATTACCAGATTTGCCATAGAGTATTGTAACACTATTGAAGGAACTGCAAAGTACATTGAAACTTCTGAGCTATGCGGGGGTGCTAGAATTTGTTATATTTTCCATGAGACTTTTGGGCGAACCTTAGCATCTGTTGACCTGCTAGGTGGCATTAACACTATTGACGTCTTGACTGCCATTAGAAATGGTACTGGTCCCTGTCCTGCTTTATTTGTGCCTGAGGTTTCATTTCAGTTACCGGTCAAAAGACAAATCAAACGTCTAGAAGAGCCCAGCTTCTGTTGTGTAGAGCTAGTTCATGAGGAAATGCAAAGAATCATTCAGCATGGCAGCAATTACAGTACACAGGAATTGCTATGGTTTCCTAAATTTCATGATGCCATAGTTGAAGTAGTGACTTGTCTTCTTCGTAAAAAGTTGCCTGTTACAAATGAAATGGTCCATAATTTAGTGGCAATTGAATTAGCTTATATCAACAGAAAACATCCAGACTTTGCTGACGCTTGGCTATGAACTGAAAAGTATACTCTTCATTACAGAACAAATCACCCATTTAATACAAATAATAAATGGCTGTTTTTAAAGTTTCCCAGCATACATGTAAAAGAAAATCCTGCGTATAAGCTAGGCATGATGGCACACATTTGTTTCTTGTTTTGGTTTTTTTGTTTTTTAAAAAAATTTTATTATTTTTATTTATTGGTCTTTTTTTTTTTTTTTTTAATCTTTTTGAGACAAGGTCTCCCTGTAGCCCCAGATGTCCTGGAACTCACTATGTAGACCAGGCTGGCCTTGAACTCGCAGAGATCCACCTGCCTCTGCCTCCCGAGTGCTGGGACTACAGGCATGCACCACCATACCCGGCTATTATTTTTTGGTCTTTTTGAGACAGGGTCTCTCTGTAGCTGGGACTACAGGGGTGGGTCACCATGCCTGGCTTAGTATTTTTATTTTAATGTGTATGCGTGGATTGCCTGCGTGTAGGTAATTGCACCTGTGTCATGCAATGCCTGAGGAGGACAGAAGAGGCCGTCGGATCCCCTGGAACTGAAGTTACAGACAGTTGTTAGCTGCCATGTGGGTGCTGGGATTTGAACCTGGGTCTGCTGCAAGAACAGCCAGTGTTCTTAACCGCTGAGCCATCTCTCCGGCCTCGATGGCACACATTTGTAATTCGAGGATTTAGGAGGCTAGCCAGGAGGATTACCTTGAGTTAGAGACCAACCTGGGCTAAACAGTGAGTGAGTTTTATGTCAACCTGAACTATAGAGTAAGACTTTGTCTTTATTTTTTTTAAGATGTATTTTATTTTTAATTGTGTGTGTGTGTGTGTGTGTGTGTGTGTGTGTGTGTACATGTGAGTGCAGCTGCCTACAGAGGCCAGAAGAAGTTGAATTTTTGGAGTTGGAGTTAGAGGTGGTTGTAAACCAAACTCAGGTCCTCTGAAAGAGCAGTATGTGCTCTTAAGAGAGTCATCTCTGTAGAACTTTTTTTTTTTTTTTTTGCAACAAGTTCTCATGTATTCCAGACTGGCCTTGAATTCACTATGTAGCTGAGGATAACTTTGAACTTCTGATTCCGTTTCCAAGTGCTGGGATTACAAGTGTATACCACCATGCTCAGGTTATACAAGTTAGGAATCAAACCTTAGCTTTGTGCATGCTAAGCAAGCACTCTACTCCCCCCACTCCCCAACTGGGAATTAAACCCTGGGTCTTCTTCATGTTGTGCAAGTGTTTACCACTAACCAACAACCCCAGCTTTGCTCTAATTGTTGGGATCTCAGATTTGATGTGGAATGAAATTACAGAACATTGTTTCACTCAACAAATGTTCAAAGAGCACCTACTTTGTGCCTGGTAGGAAAGAAGAAAGGAAGGAGGTAAGGGAGAGGGATGGAAGAGAGGAAGAAGGGCTCAACAAGAAAAGCTGGCCTGACTGGGTATGGTGGTGCACACTAGTAATCCCATCATTGGGAGGTAGAGGCAGGCAGATCTCATGAGGTCAGCCTGGTCTACCTAATCGAGTTCTAGGCCAGTCAGGGCTACATAGTAAGACCTCGTCTCAAAAGAAAACAAAAACAGGGGCTGGAGAGATGGTTCAGCAGTTAAGAGCACAGACTGCTCTTACAGAGGACCCAGGTTCAACTCCCAGCACCCACGTGGCAGCTAACAACTATCAGTAACTCCAGTTTCAGGGGATCCAACACCTTCTTCTGACCTCGGGCACTGCACAACATGGGTGTACTTACACACATGCAGGCAATACACTCATATTTATAAAATAAAAATAATAAAATTTAAAACAAAACAAAAACAAAAATAACCACTCCTCCCAAGACATTGCAAATGTGCACTGCCCAGGAAGGAAAGGTTAGCACTTTTGGGATGCTGACAGTGACTATGACTGCTACACAGAGAGTGTAGGCAGAGCCCGGTCTGGTCTGGTAACTGCTATTCCCAGTTACCTCAGAGACCGAAGGCAGGAAGATCGGCTAAGTTACAGAGTGAGTTCAAGGTCAGCCTAGACAATTTAGTAAATCTGTCTCTGTCTCTTTCTCTCACACAAGAAAAAAAAAAGAGAAACAGAGGATGCACTCAGTGGTAGAGTGTTTCATATATACACACAAAGCCCTAGATTCCATCCCTAGTACATTCCAGAGTTCAGAGAAAGGAAGAGAGGGAGAGACAGATACACACACACACACACACACACACACACACACACACACACACGGTAGGGGGTATAAAAAAGGTCTCATCAGCTAGCTATGTAGGGGGTCTGAACTTGATCCCAAAGGCAAGATATAGAAACATTTGTAAAGCATCTCTGGCTGCAGAGATGAGGATGAGAAGGAGTTCTGGGTCAATCAGCCATTTGATGCAATCTTGGACAAACTATATAACCTTTACTGTTTAAGATTCCTCTTCGGTAGAAGTGGGGAAACATGACACAGCAACTTGCCAGGGTTGTTACAAAGATTAGAACTAGGAGTTGGTTCAGTAAGTTGCCTGTCACCAAGCCAGAAGACCTGAGTTTGTTCCCTGGGTTCTTCATGGTAGAAAGAGAAAACCTACTCCTGAAAGTTGTCCTCGGACTTCTACATGTACATCATGGCACATGTATACACACAGACACACAGACACACACACACTAAAATAAACTTAATTAAAAAAACAAACAAACACGGGGCTGGAGAGATGGCTCAGCGGTTAAGAGCACTGACTGCTCTTGCAGAGGACCCGGGTTTGATTCCCAGCATCCACATGGTGGCTATG